AATTGCTATATATCATGTTGTAAGATATCGTAATACATGACTATGTTCAAAATTTCAAAGGATTTCGTCAAAAAACCAAGAAAGATATTGAGACTTTAGTTTCAGCCAATCAGAGCAAAGCGCACGTGCATGCACGTGAGATCTTGCTATTTTGACCATGTCATCTTGTCTATGCTACTAATATATCATTACAATATGAGTTTCAACGCATTTCATCAAAAATTGAGAAAGTAAGTCTATATCAATTATATTGATCATTTCTCGTGTTGCACGTGCGCGCTCTTGCAAGCACGTGCGCGCAAAATGACCTTGACTAGGCAAATCTACATAACATGTCTACTAACCCTAAAAAGGTTTTACCTACATCGGATGAACAGTTTACAAGATCATTCCCGGACAAAAAAGTACCCAGGAAGAAGAAGAAGAAAAATAATAATAACTAGATACGATCTCGTTGCGAGCAACGAGTGGGTCTTCCGTCCAATTCTTGATAAGATGAGAAAAGATTTTGATTGAGATTTTCATTCAAAAATAATGATTTACCACAATCTGTGTGTGTAAAAAGACATTGAACATTAAAGACTTTAAAAATCGGCTTTTGGCCCCTAACAGCCCTTAATTTTAGGAATCAGCCCTTTTTCTTCATATAATCTTAAAGTTCTAAAGATTTTGATCACTTTTTGTTCAACAACTGTTAAGAAATTCTTTTCGTTTTTCGAGCTATTAGCAAAAGAAATTTTTAGGGGCCAACCCTTCAACTCCTTAATGGGGACGTTTAGCAAAAAATGAAAGGTTGCATATTGTTTAGAACATTATTTTGAACATCTTTTGTTCAATATTGCTTATCAAAATATTTCTGCCTTTCGAGATATAAAGCATCAAAGATTAAGCATTTTGGCCCCTTGTGGCCCCTAATTATGTAACAAACGACATAAAAATCATAATACATAATTGTAGATGGTTGAGATTAACATCTTTGCTTCAGAAATGTATTACAAAATATTAACTGACAAAGAGTTATCGATTGAAGACTTTTGGCCCCTCTTGGCCCCTAATTCGAGTGCCCAGCCCCTTTTTCAGGATCTCATCTTAAAGATCTTAAGATTTTAAACATTTTTTGTTCAACAACTTTTCAGAAATTCTTTTTCGTTTTTGAGCTATTAGCAAAAGAAATATTTAGGGGCCAACCCTTCAACTCCTTAATGGGGACGTTTAGCAAAAAATGAAAGGTTGCATATTGTTTAGAACATTATTTTGAACATCTTTTGTTCAATATTGCTTATCAAAATATTTTTCCCTTTCGAGATATAAAGTGTCAAAGATTTAGCATTCTGGCCCCTTGTAGCCCCTAATTATGTAACATACGACATAAAAATCATAATATATAGTTGTAGATTGTTGAGATAAACATCTTTGCTTCAGTAATGTATTACAAAATATTAACTGATAAAGAGTTATTGATTGAAAACTTTTGGCCCCTTTTTACCCTAAATTTGAGTGCCCAGCCCCTTTTTCTTGATTTCGTCTTAAAGCTCTTATAATTTTGAACACTTTTTGTTCAACAACTATTCAGAGATTCTTTTTCGTTTTCGAGTTATTTGCAAAAGAAATATTTAGGGGCCAACCCTTCAACTCCTTAACGGGGACGTTAAGCGAAAAATGAAAGGTTGCATATTGTTTAGAACATTATTTTGAACATCTTTTGTTCAATATTGCTTATCAAAATATTTCTCACTTTCGAGATATAAATCGTCAAAGATTTAGCATTCTGGCCCCTTTTGGCCCCTAATCATGTATTATACGACATTAAAATCATAATATATAGCTGTAAAATGTCGAGATAAACATTTTTGCTTCAAAAATGTATAACAAAATATTGACTGATAAAGAGTTATCGATTAAAGACTGTTGGCCCCTCTTGGCCCCTAGTGTGATGAGTCAGCACTTTTTTCTTCATATCATATGAAAGATCTTGTCATTCTTCACAAATATTGTTCAGTATGTTTTCACAAAATATTTATATTTTAAGAGATATGATGCAAAATGTCTCAAAAAATCACTCATAATTCGTGACCTAGATTTCGACCCCTACCGAGCTTCCATACTAGGCACTTCCGGAAGATTTGAAAGTACAGGTGCAAAACTACAATATGTCTTCTATTAGTCCTGAAAAGGACAACATTCTAGCTTTTGTCGTTTTTGAGTTTTTGTCCGGACAAAATGGTCACTAAAATTCGATTAAAGGGCGATAACTTCCGACCGGAAGTGATTTTTCGAAAAATAAAAAAAATGAATAAGGTTTAGTTCATGATACATCTTTTCTGAATATTTCAAGTCAATCCACCCAAGCATCTCTGAGAAATCGTCTGCACAAAAATGTGTAAAGAAAAAAATAATAATAACTAGATACGATCTCGTTGTGAACAACGAGTGGGTCTTCCGTTCGATTCTTGATGAGATGAGATAAGTTTTTGATATAGATTTTCATTCTAAAGTAATGATTTTCCATAATCTGTAAAAAGAGTTTGAACAATAAAGACTTTTAAATCGACTTTTGGCCCCTCTCGGCCCCTAATATTACGGATCAGCCCTTTTTTCTTCATAACATTTTAAAGCTCTTAGGATTATGAACACTTTTTGTTCAACAACTATTCAGAGATTCTTTTTCGTTTTCGAGTTATTCGCGAAAGAAATATAAAGGGACCTGCCCTTCAACTCCCTAATGGGGACGTTTAGCATAAAATAAAAGGTTGCATATTGTTCAGAACATGATTTTGAACATCTTTTGTTCAATATTACTTGTCAAAATATTTCTCACTTTCGAGATACAAAGCATCAAAGATTTAGCATTCTGGCCCCTTGTGGCCTTAATTATATAATGTACGATTTTAAAATCGTAAAATACAGTTGTAGATTGTTTAGATAAACATTTTTGCTTCAGTAATGTATAACAAATTATTGACTGTTAAAGACTTATCGAAAAAAGATTTTTAGCCCCTTTTGGCCCCTAATTTGAGTACCCAGCCCCTTTTCCTGGATTTCATTTTGAAGCTCTTAAGATTTTGAACACTTTTTGTTCAACAACTATTCAGAGATTCTTTTTCGTTTTCGAGTTATTCGCAAAAGAAATGTTTAGGGGCCAACCCTTCAACTCCCTAATGGGGACGTTAAGCGAAAAATGAAAGGTTGCATATTGTTCACAGCATGATTTTGAACATCTTTTGTTCAATATTACTTGTCAAAATATTTCTCAATCTTGAGATATAAAGCATCAACGATTTAGCATTCTGGCCCCTTGTAGCCCCTAATTATGTAATATACGACATAAAATTCATAATATGTAGTTGTAAGATGTTGAGATAAACATTTTTGCTTCAGTAATGTATAACAAAATATTGACTGTTAAAGAGTTATCGATTAAAGACTTTTAGCCCCTCTTGGCCCCTGATTCGAGTGCCCAGCCCCCTTTTCGAAATCTCATCTTAAAGATCTTAAGATTTTGAACATTTTGTGTTCAACAACTGTTCAGAAATTCTTTTTCGTTTTTGAGCTATTAGCAAAAGAAATATTTAGGGACCAACCCTTTAACTCCTTAATGGGGACGTTTAGTAAAAAATGAAAGGTTGCATATTGTTTAAAACATTATTTTGAACATCTTTTGTTCAATATTGCTTATCAAAATATTTCTCCCTTACGAGATATAAAGCATCAAAGATTAAGCATTCTGGCCCCTTGTGGCCCCTAATTATGTACCATACGACATAAAAACCATAATATATAGTTGTAGATGGATGAGATAAACATTTTTGCTTCAGTAATGTATTACAAAATATTAACTGATAAAGAGTTATCGAAAAAAGATTTTTGGCCCCTTTTGGTCCCTAATTCGAGTGCCCAGCCCCTTTTCCTGGATTTCATTTTGAAGCTCTTAAGATTTTGAACACTTTTTGTTCAACAACTATTCAGAGATTCTTTTTCGTTTTCGAGTTATTCGCAAAAGAAATGTTTAGGGGCCAACCCTTCAACTCCCTAATGGGGACGTTTAGCGAAAAATGAAAGGTTGCATATTGTTCAGAGCATGATTTTGAACATCTTTTGTTCAATATTGCTTATCAAAATATTTCTTCCTTTCGAGATATAAAGCATCAAAGATTGAGCATTCTGGCCCCTTGTGGCCCCTAATTATGTATCATTCCATATGAATATCATAATATATAGTTGTAGATTGTTAAGCTTAACATTTTTGCTTCAGTAATGTATAACAAAATATTGATTGTTAAAGAGTTATCGGAAAAAGTTTTTTGGCCCCTTTTAATACTTAATGTGCTGAGTCAGCACTTTTTTCTTGATGTCATATTTAAGATCTTGTCATTTTGCACAAATTATGTTCAGTATGTTTTAACAAAATTATTATACTTTAAAAGATATGATGCAAAATGTCTCAAAAAATTACTCATAAAAGGTGTCCTAAATTTTGACCCCTACCGAGCTTCCATACTAAGCACTTCCGGAAGATTTGAAAGTATAGGTGCAAAACTACAATATGTCGTCTATTAGCCCTGAAAATGACAACATTCTAGCTTTTGTCGCTTTTGAGTTTTTGTGTCGACAAAATGGTCACTAAAAATTCGATTAAAGGGCGATAACTTCCAACCGGAAGTGAATTTTTAAGATTTGAACAAAAAAGGATCATCTTCAGATCAAAACACATTATCACTGAAAATTTCATTAAAATATATCAAACCGTTTTTGAGATATCGTCTGCACAAAAATTGTAAAGAAAAAGTGGAATAATAATAATAATAATAATAATAAAAGTGAAAAAGAAACAATACAATAATAGAAGGGTCTTCCGTTGGAGACGGAAGACCCTAATAAAAGTGAAAAAGAAACAATAGAATAATAGAAGGGTCTTCCGCTGGAGACGGAAGACCCTAATAAGAAACAGAGTAAAAACAATATGTTCCCCAACTTCGTTTGGGGAACATAACTATCGAGGTATATACAAATATGTCTATTTCAAATACTAGTATTTAATTTTCTTAATCTTTCCTCCATACTCAGCAACGAACAGATAGTTACTTTTGTCCACACATAAACCTAATGGATCCTTTAGATCACATTTATCTATATAACGGAGGAACTGTCCGTCCTGATCTAGGATGTGGATACAGTGGTTACCTCGGTCTGCTGTCAGGATCTGATTCTGGCTGTCTGTTGTGATGCCCCGGGGTTTAAATGGTTCGTTCTTTGTAGTAGAAGAATGACCGGTGTATCTAAATCGAAGTTTTCCAGCCTGGTTGACCACCACTACAGCACCGGCTCCATTGTCAGCCACACAGATATCAAGGTTTCTGTTCTCACTGATGTACTTAATCCTGTCATTTCCTGAATACAGAGGTTTACCCTCCTTATCAAACTGGAGTGTTTGTTTCTCTGTGGATCCTGAGTAACGGACAACTTTGGATTGTGTATTATCATCACTGCGCATGGTAACCAGGAAGTCACCAGAGGATGTGACACAGAGTTGTTGGGGTACCCAGCCCTGTAGTCTGATCATCTCCTCTATCTGTCCATTCTTCACTTTATTCACAGTCCTTGTTTTCCAGTCAGTGTACACTAGATCTCCATCACCTGTCACTGCTATATCATTTGGAGATTTTCCTGATTTTGTTCTGATTGTCTTCATGAGTGAACCTTGAATGTTAAAACAATTCATATCATTGACTTTTCCACTTGTCCAAATTTCTTCTTCACTGAGACAGGCAACAGAGCGGAGGTTTTCATACCCAGTATCTATAGTAGTGATAAGTTCTGGTTCTTCCAGCAATATTCTGCTTGACTTTTCTAATTTCTTCAGCTCGTAGCCATTTTCTTCTGTTGTAGTAGATAAAGGTGCAAGAGATCCAAACAATTTGTAAATCTGTTCTCTATCTACAGGTTTTGGATTAAACATTGGCAGGGATACCTGAACTTTAGGAGGAAGTTTACTGAATTCTTTGTTTCTGGAGCTGTATTCTGTGGTCATGTACACTTCATTTGATTCTTCAATTTCCTTCAGGTTGAGCAGATTTTGTTCTATAAGGGACTGTATTTGTTTCACTTCATCTGCATGTTTCCTGAGAATGTCAAAGTGTTTTCCTTTCAAATCATCAATTTCTTTTTTCATGACATTGACGAAATTGTCAATTTCTCTGTGCCATTGTTTTCCATGTTTTGTCACTGCTGTTGTAAGTTTCTCATATTCTCCATCCAAGTTAGCTATCTGTGTTTCTAGATCATTTCTGATTTCTTCATATGTTGGAGAGATAATGTTTTGTAATTCCTCTGTATCTTTTTCGATATCAATTTTTTTTGAGTTGTATACTTCTGACAGTTCTAAAAAATGATGTCCTTTATGTTTATTTGACGTAAAACATGAAGGGCAAACAGGAATGTCACATTCCTTGCATTTTAATTCACAAGTTTTGGTTGGATGTGTTGCACACTTTGGATAAATCAAGGTTGTTTTTCTTTGTTGGAAAGGAACAATTTTATGTTTGTCATATTCATCAGTAATGTGTTCTCCAATACAGGGTTTACAAAGGTTGACATGACAGAAATCACAGTACATCTGTACTATAGCTGTCTCACAAAGGTCACATCTGATCACATCCTGGGCACTGTGGCGGGGATCCATAGTTTGTGTAGAAGTCCTATAAATCAAGATTAATTGTTTTGATATTAAGATTAGCCCACCATTTAATTACATAGTTTTTTTATTTTACTACTAAATGAATATTCATAAAAAGCACTTCCTGGTCATAACAAAGGCGTTCATATTTAAATAACATATCATAAACATGATAAACAGGCATCGAGAAAAGCAACACTGAAAAATTATCATGAAAATACACAAATAGCAACAAACAGTTTCTATGATGAATTTCCAAATATCTCTACCATGGTAGCCACTGGGAAACTTGACTTACATTGGTGGAAGGTTATTCGTCAGTATTCTTTTATCATTTAAAATTGTCTATACTGAGACTCTTTTTCGCCATGGCCATCTCCATATTTTTGAGTAAAAATTAGAGTTATCGCTCTTACAGCGTTATACGCACTTGGAAACCCCTCCCCTTTTTTCAGTTCCACTTTATAAATTCCTATGATTCACACAGCTCAAGTCTGAAGATCTTCAGAATCACGTTGCTTCCTTCTCTATATACTTTTAAAATGAGCTTATTATATCATGATCACTGTCGCAAGCCCCCCCCCCCCCCTCCCCGCCCTTTTTCAAAGTATGATATGAATAATATTGATCATGCCATACTTTGGTACTGTACAATACCAGGCACGTAGCAACAGTGGGGGGGGGGGGGGGGGGGGGGGGCGTGCCCCCCCCCCACTTTTTTTTCACAATAATTTTACTATTGGAAATGTTCAGTGATAGACTGGTTGCCCCCCACCCCCCACACTTTATGTTAAACAAAGAAACAAATAAATACAAAAGAGTAATATATAGAAATACTTTAAACAAACCTTTATTTACAGTATATTGATTATGTATGTTGTAATCCCCAACTGCTGTAACATCATTTATCTTTTGTTAGTTACTGCTATCAATTTTGAATTTCTGCTTGTATGTTTTTTTTTTTCCTTATTACTTGTATGCCCTGATGGGCCCCAAATTGGTATTAATAAATCTTATACTTATACTACAGGAAATTATTGATATAAGGGAAATGTAGTGTTGAATACCAAATTTTGACTGAAAAAAGTTGCCTAAACCCCTCCCCCCACGAAATTTTATTTTCGAATTTGGGCAATTTGCCTGTGCTAATCTCACATACCGTTTCGTGGTTACTTTCCACTCGGCGGACATAGTTTTGACGCTAATTACGGAGATAAATGAAAACAAAGACATACATGCCGTATATGGTTGTGTAGATAAAGATAAATTATCGTAGAAGACAATGGCAATAAAAAGTTTGCCAGTGCATTTCATCTGAAAGTGTAAATGAGTGCGTTTCTGAGGAGGGGGTGTTCCGTGTAATTCGGAGTTAGATACCTTGTGGTATTATACTATGGGTGAAAAAATTATTTCCGAAACAAGTGCCTGTGGACTTTCCCGACGGAAATCCCACACCAGAGTCAATTTTCCGGGGGGAGGCCCCCCCTACTCTGTGTTATAGAGTGCGATTTCCCCAAGAGCCGATCTCCCCCCAATAAAATATAATTGCTGTACTTATGTTTAAAGGGGAGAGGGTCGTCACAGTACACTGCTACAAGACAATGCCCCTTCTTTAAAATGATGACCCGATGTATTGAACATACGTACATACGGATATGAAAAACGAAAATAAAAATTTTAAATCCCATTTTTCTCAGCAATTGTCAACATTTTTTTAAAATCAAATAAATCGGTAAATCTTGAGGGAGTATATATAGGTTTCCTCTGCGTCTGTCTGTCTAACTGTTCCTCTGTCTCTGTCCCAAATGGTTTTTTGCATTTTTTTCTCTAAATGCTTGAAGACATTGAGCGGATTTTTGGTATGGGAGCGTATCTTGATGAGTTAAAGTTCAAGTTTGCATTTTATTTTTTCGTTTCAATATTTAAGATCAAAGTACCGGTAGAGAAAATTAGTTGAATTTTCGTCTTGATTTGGATTATATTTTAGGTTAAAAGGCATAGACTAGTTATAATTTATTGGAAGTAATTTTCAATGCAAATCATTTTGTATTCTTCAAAATTGTTTCAGAGCGATTCTGCAATTTTTTACCTCAATGTTAGTATAATCATAGTATTGATTGTCATCTAACTGTGCTAACCAATGTGAAACATAGACTAATATGTATATAATTTTTAGCCCCAATGACTCTTTTGAAACGTAAAAAGTAAACAACAGCATTTTGACCAAAATTCGCAGAAATAAATCGACGTAAAAATTTCCAGATTCACGGTAATGTTGTTTTCACTAATATGAAGACGCCACCACTTGCCGATGGAGAGTTGGAAATTTTGACCTATATACTTAGGGTCATTGAGCAGTGGGGGAGGGGGGACCTTTTTCCTTTGACACGGGACCTCGGTTTGCAAAGGGCCGGTTTCCACGTCTCACAGTTGGATCCATAAAGATTGAGGGAAAAAATAATAAATGTCACACTAAAATTTTTTTTTTAATAAGAGTTCAAACTGACATATATGTTTATGTTTAATTAAGAAAAAACACAAGATCAATGAGTGCACTCTTAGGTGAATTAAGTAACCTGAAACTCATTACTATTAGGTTGATTTAACAAATTTTGAAAACCTCATTTCCCATGTTTCCTCCGACCCGACACGTAGCATTACGGCCTGCCTCCCTTTTTTCCAAACATAACTTGTCTTTGTTGGAAATGTTCATAGAAAGGCCGGTCCCCCTTTTTTAGCAGTATAGTCAAATAAGGGTAATGTAATACTGTATGAATAAAATTTGGTTCTGAAAGAGTTCGACCCCCCTCCCATCAACGAAATAGGATTACTAGTTGGTTTTCATTCGGGTAATTTGAATTTTTCTCTGTCTCTTTTCAATTTTCATGCAATGTCCCTGTTCCTTATCGGTTTAAGTTAGAAGTTATAGGACTAATAGTCTTTGAACTGGCATTGGGCAGGATTTTTTTTAATTTAAATACTTCATTGAAATTTTTATGCGTGGAAATTCCATTTTCATATTGTCAAGTCTGAATTCAGAATTATTCTCAACGAATTTTTCTTCAACATTTCAAAGTTGATTTCCTATATATGCAGTGTAGCCCCCAATCACAGAAGCTGGCATACCTATCAATTTGTCGAAAAAAAAAAAAGAATACATGATGATTTAAAAATTCCACGCGTTATTATTCTAGATATTTCTATTTACTGAAAACTTCTATAAAATTGAAAAGTATGCTTACTCATTTGCCCCCTCCCTCCCAAAAAAAAATCACGGGGAAGAGATAGTGTACTGGGCATGTGGGATGGAAAATTTTTAACACCTTATCATTACGTACCCCACATCCCCCCTAGGGTGCATGATTTGAATAAAACATTAATCTACTTTACCCTAGGATTTCTTTGCATTTAGTATTCACCGAAAACTAAAAACAGACTCAATAAAACTTTTGATTTTGTATTTCTGTTTCTGAGTCGTCTTTTAATTAAAAATGCCATGTTCATAATTATTTGAATTGAAAAAAAACATAAGAAAATGTAGTGTGATCATCAAAAGGTCATGACTAGATGACCTCATCAAAATAATCTCAGAAAATATTAATATATTCAATTGAAATCTTGACTATATAAGTATCAATGTTTTGAGGCCAGTACCATGTCATGTCCTTTCAAATATTCATTTCAGGTTTTGAGTGTGTAAATAAAGACAGGTATTTATATGTAACGGGAGAGGAGAAAATATATACTCCGGTCAGGTGCTCTACCAACTGAGCTATCTGGCCACCGGCGATCGAACCCGGCTGACCGCCACATTCCTCCCTCCTTAAAGGTCTTTGGCCCTCCAAAGACCCCAACCCAGGCTCATCCCTGGCAGGTCTTTCACCTGTCAAATCCTGGTCACGGCACCAAATCTGTAACAGGAAAGGAGAAAAGGGAATCGAACCCGGGACCCCTGCATCTCTAGTCAGGTGCTCTACCAACTGAGCTATCCAGGCCGATATCCACGGCCCTAACCATTACATATATATACATTAACATTCTGTTTCTCAATGGGCTAATATCTGTTATGGATAAAAGATGATGAATGAAAAATAAATATGATAAATATAATTCATCATGCCAACAGTTACGCATTTTATTGAAACATTTATCAATGAGACATTTCACAGTACTATACTACATACCTATTACACATGTGATTCAATATATTTTTTTATTCAAAAGTTTACAGTCACATTTAAATTAACATGATTGGTTTAAAATTACAGATGAAAGTACCCCATGATTAGAACAAATTGGGCATACTTGATAATACTTTGACTTCATATCTCTCTGTAATAAATAAATGTTCATTTTATACAAGAACAATATCTACAGAAATAAAACTCACAAGACTGGAATACAATATACTACACATTTAAATGTTAACGGCAATTTGCAAACAAGCAAACAATTATTGCACGAATCACAGATAACATATATTGAAGTTCTAATGCGAAAAACTTCACAATAACTTTCAGTATATACAGCAGTGTTATATGAAATTTAACAGCATGTGATCTGTTACAGTACAGTCCTATTCAATCTTGATACATGTACCTCATACTTCACATCCCAAATAAACAGAAAGTCATATAATGATTGTAATACACTGTATATACTAATCCTAAATCAATGAGGTACGTCTGTCCTTGTGGAATAACTTTGAAGCATGTGTACTGTAAACGTAATAACAGGGAATGCTCTTTTCAGAAAAACACAACATTCATTCAAGCAGAAGAATTCCCTAAGTTAGTCTATATATTAAAATTCAAGTGATAAAAAAACAGTACAGTCTTCATATTTATGAAGTTTGTTATATTTGTACATATACATTGTACATATCCACTATTTCACAAAAGTGTTTCCTTGACAGAAATATTCTTATGTATGTTTTTGTACAATTTTGTTCTTCGGTGTTGGTTCAGAACTATTTTTTATTTCCTTTCATGTCAAGTGATATTCTTTACAAAATATGGAATAAACACCTCCATTCAAGGATGAGGTCCACATATTTACATCATTAAATATTGAGGTCAACTGGAATATGGCGCCTCACATATCACAACAGGGAAATCCATGTGAAGTCTTGGAATGGGAAGTTTTACTTCACCCTGACAAAAGAAAATGAGATTAAATAAAACAAATGAACAATGTACTAGACTAAAACTAAAATGGCCCCGTTTTTTGGAGAGTTTTGCTCGAAATACTCATTACTGTAGACACTTTTTTTTTTTTTTTTGGATTAATTTAGTATGCTATGATGTACATGGACATACATTTGAAATTTTTTAAGGAAATTTGAATAGTACAGTATACTTAAAGTGCTTTAAAACATTCATGAATATCGCTAATACATAATAAAATGCATTGGATGGTACATTTGTGTATAAGGCTAATTCATGAATTGTGATTGCATTAAATTTTGAATACGCCAAATTAGGTACACATACAGTATCTTGCCGTCCATTAGGGCAATGTAAATAGCCAAAATTTTCAATGGTCTCAATTTCAAGGACTATTTACTAAGAATTATAAGGAAAGTTTGTGTGAAAAAGCAAAAGACATGGTAAGTAGTATTTTTTGAAAGCAGTTTGAAAAACAGAGAAATAAATTGCAAAACAGCACACTATTTTTGTGTGACATATACATTTTTTTTTTTTAAATGGGTGGCATTGTAGCTCTCTGGTTTGTCAATTCGGAGAGCTACAGTTCTGCAGCTAAGGGATCAGCCACAATTACCTTATTATTAAGAAAACAATGCATTAGACACTACCTCAGGTGTGAGATTCCGCCAGTGTTGTTCCATTACTGTGTGACCTCCTATATCTTTTTCTTCATAAAACTCATGAGCTAGGTCCCCATCTTCATCATAAAACCTTGACCTAAAATATATTGGAAATAATTTGACTTATTTTATACAATTCATGTTAAATCACCTCTGTTATATAACTCTGGGATACCAGAATTAATTTCTTTAGTTCTTGTTCTAAACTATGGTCAAAGCATTGAATACTCATAAAAATAATCCTGTATAAGACTATGAGTTATGTAAATATCACTGAAGTTTAACACGACTGGGAAATTCCATTTCTTTCAATAAACTGAATGGAGACAATATGGAAATTTGTATCATCTTTGCTAACCAAGGGTTTCTGAAGTGCTACTAGCTCCTCAAAAACCCTTTGCCTATCATGTTAAAAAAAAGTTGGATTTTTTTTTCCAAGTTGTGATTGGAATAGATCGACATTGTTCAACCAATCAGCAACTGCTTTTTTTGCAAGTGACAATATCTGCATTTGAGATAAATATTGACTCTTAAAATTAGGGAAAATAAAATGAAAGTAAACAATGATATGTAAGCTACCATGACATTTTATGAATAGATTTGGAGGTGTCATTCCAATATTTTGAGCAATATATGTGTAAAATATGTGATTAAGAATCTTATTTTTAAGATGTACATTTGCACTTTTAATAACAATATTATAAACATAAGATATATATTAACTCAATTACTCCTTGTTAATTTTTCTTTAAAAACTATAATTCTCAAAATACATATTTTATGTCTATTGACCCAATCTGTGCATACCAGGTAAGATTTGAGATCACATGACAAAAACGATCCCTTAATTCTTTTGGCAGCACCATAGGCCAAGGGTTTGTGAAGAGAGTAGTGTATCAGAAACCCTGACTAGCAAAGTTGTCAGTGTTGTGTACATATACATTTAATACATAAGATTAACTGGCAGAATTGGGAATAAGCAGCTTACATCATTTTCATCTGTAACATTTAATGTCAGACAATGAAATAGGAAAGGGGAACAATTCAACATGGCTGAACAATCTTGGAAATAAGTAAGAAACTTGAGATTTCTTTTAGTTTGGACAACCCCTCCTGTTCTTGCTTGTCAAACATTTTTCTGTGAAAAAAAACCTTTGTCATCCTAAAAAAAATTTATTCTGTCATGTGAAAGCATGATCTGACTCGACAATTTTTGACACCCCCCCCCCCTTCAAGAATCAAATGACCATCTTCTGAACAAGTAATCTATTCTTCTATTATCTTTATGTGTCCTTAAAATTATAGGCAAAAAAAAAAAAAAAAAAAAAAATTCAAATAAATATGAATTTCAAACAGCAAGTATTAGGAAATTGAAATTATTTGTCTTTCGGACCATACATTCACAGTATAGGTTTGAAAACAGTTCAGGGGGTTTGAAAACAAATTTCAAACTTAAATTTCAATCCAATGTTTTCTCAGATGTTCATGTCGAATTTTACCAGCCCATTTCATTTTCTGTCATTAAATGTTTGACAGGAGAGATGGAAACATAGGCGTCAGAACCAGGGGCGGGGAAGGGGACTTATTCCCCCCAACTTTTTTAAGCAAAGATAGACATCATATAGGCATTGAACATTGGAGCATAAGTTTAGCCCCCCCCCCCCCCCCCACTTTCAACAGACACATTGCATATAGATTAGGTCAGAAAAGGGCAAGTGGTACATGTAGAGTGTTTGGAAAAAAATTGGTACTGAAAAAAGTCCCCCCCCCCCCCCCCCCCCCTGAAACATTGGACAATGGGCACATTTCCATTTTTCTTTTTCTTCTTTTTGTTTTTGTTTTTGTTTTTTGTTTTTTTGCTTTTCAAGTTCTTTTGTAGGTCAGATTTTTTTTTAGCCCCCCCCCCCCCCCTTTCAATTTCCTTTCAAATGACACATTGCATATTTCCAATTTTGCCATATATTGGACTTAGTTTCTCATTTGATAGAAAGGATTCATTTACATGTGGCATACATGTATTAAATATTTTATGTAGCTTTTCACAAGAAATTTGGGAACACTTCTAGTATACCGGTCCCCATAAATATGGCGCTAAAATAGGTGCCGCCGAAGGCGGTGTACAACATATATAGACGATCGCGTGAGCGATTGGTACTGAAAAAAGAAGCCACAATCCCCCCCCCCCCCCCCCCAGTTTTTTAAATGAGAATTAAAAGATTTCGTAAAATAGGTTTTTTAGGAAGTAAATCTCCATCTTGCGTTGACAATGGGCACATTTTTTTTTTCTCATAAATTTCATGAGTTGCGTCTTATTGTTGTTTTTTAAAATTTTTTTTTTGTGCTTTTCAAGTTCTTTTGTAGGCTGAAAATCGTCATGTTTCAATAGAGTTGATTTACCCGAACTTTCATTTCTTAAACTTTCCTGTTCTTTGTAAAGCAAAAATTTCGTGAACTAAACCTCGACCCCCTCTTTCAATTTCCATAGTGCCTTTTGTAAGCAAAAATGACTCAAATGGCAAATGATGTAAGCTGCATATTTCCAATTTTGCCAGTTCAAGCATGTTCAAAATTGGACGAGATGTCATGGGCGATAACACGACTCTGAGATGCGAATTTTGTGTATTTCAATAAGAATTGCACAAACAGTTAAGTTATGAGACGAGGGTGTGATGATGACTTCGCAGGAAAAGGATTCGGGTGATATAGCAATGCGACTTGCTTAAGCGAATTTTGAAATTTACTGGAAAATTGGTCTTATCCTTTGGAAAATTCCTATAAATGAATAATAAAAGAATTTGTCCACTCAACCAACGATGGCGGTTCTTTCTTCTCGAATTTCCATGCTTTCTGATAGGCGTAACTGACCAAACTGACCGCGTGCTATCAGTAGCCGTGGAATCTGATATATTACTGACGTCATATTTGCAACCCACCACTCAATTTCTTGCAGTACTTGAATATATAGTCTCTTACAATCTGCTATATTAAATATACATAATGAAAAATTGTAATATGTTTTATATTACGATAACTAGTAATATTACGATTTGTCGTATTGGACTGGACTGATCAACGGCAAGGGAAATAACTGCTCATGCGCAATCGCGTGATTCTGGGGACCGGCATACTAGAAACTTCCCGAAATTTGTATTGTTCGATTGCTTAGATTCAATAGATTGACAAATATAAATAAATATACAAAGTAGTAGTGAAACATCATGACCTGAAAAAATTTCACTGAGGTTAAATAACGAAATATATAACCTATGGAAAAGAGCATTTTCGACCACTATATGATTACCCTTTTTTAGTGTATACAAAAGGTGTTATCGCCAAAGCAGAGGAAAGCCCTGGGCCTGTTTCACTATCATTGGTTGAACCAAACATTGAAGATACCGACTGTGACACTTTCCGTGCCATAGAAGATGTTTTTTGACCCATTTTTCTGGCATTTTAGGAGACGACAAGGCTACATCATGACTTTGGCCACCATTTTCCGGAAACGGAATATTTCTATCTATAAAATGCATTGGATATGGTTTCAATTCCGGAAAGCTCTTACTTGAAAATGTCAAAATTGGATACTTTGAAAACAATTTATTGTGCTTATTTATATTTCAAAAACCTATATGTTTTAGCAAAAAGAATATTTTAGAAATGAAATGATTGAAAGTTGATTTTTAAAGCATTAAGATCGTTTTTGATCGTGAAACCTCTTCGATACTATTTACCAATAAAATGACTACTCCCTTTTATTGATAGCAACAACCAATGAAAAGTAAGCTGTTGAGAAATATCAACAAAGCTATCCGGAGTTGTGTGTCAACTTGATTGAAGTTGTCTCATGTGATGGATAAAGTAAAAGAAGGTACAGCATGCATTATTCTGTTAATTTAAATAAAACTAATAATTTCTTAACCTTTCTCCATAACTTTCCTTTTGCTCTCCAAATTCACATATAAAGCTTACCTTTTTCCTGCAAGTTTTGCATATACCTGCAGTCATGCATCAATAATTGAAAAGAAATTACATATTAATGCAACAAGTGTTAATATTTGCAACATTCTGGGATGTAGTTAAGTAGATTGTTTGCTTGGCTGTATTCAGTTTCTTCTGCTCAATCTTTTTTTGGATTGTGCACATGCTCTGAGCACGTAGACCATAAATTCTTTGCTATACCTCCGATTAATGAATTTGTTCCTATATGTAGAGGCGGAGAGATACAGTGGGTATGTCCGGGAGAAGCTGGGTGACATCCTGTCGTCTGCTGTAGCAGACGTCGCTAAGGAGCGACCAGACGACCCGATAGATTACCTGGCCCATCGGTTGTACAGCACGGCGGTAGGTCACGATCAAAACATGTAGATAACACAGACCACCTAGAAGTATATCGATCCTCTGTCTAGACCCCAACTCTTTGAATTTAATTTTAAATTTATATCTTTTTCATATATTTGTAATAATCTAACAGTTATATACAGGTAAACTTGTTTCTGTAATAATTTAATTAACCCACAGTACTAGTATAATAATACTAAGAGTACCCCCTCCCCAAAATCGCAGACATTCATACTTTCAAACAAAATAAATTTGCAAAATGTATATATAAATGTTTTCTGAAATAATTTACACGTACAGTCATGAGTGGTGGGTCCAAGAATTTTGAAAAGGGGGGGGGGCAGATTTTGGAGATTTTGGGGGGGGGGGGGGGCATTGCACAACCACTTCAAAATTTTTTTTTTTTTTTATCAAATCTTATGTATATTTTGAACACAAAAGGGGCAGGCCCCTGCTCCCCTCTAAATTCGCCAGTAATGTACCTGCAAAGTGATATACCCGCACAAGCATATCTTGTATTAAAAACTACATATAGGTTAAAAAAATATTACAGAAACAAGTGTGCATGTAATCTAATCTTGATTTTGTAACGACGGAATTCGTCGTGCTTATCATTGTTTTAATTTTTATTTTATTTACTAGTATTTATTTGTTTATAAGAAATTAACAATTAAAATTTTTAACAGCGCAAGAAAATTTTAAAATTCTCTGGTAATACACATATCAATATTCAAGGTACATCTCTTTTAAATGCAGAAATACTTTTAATCTGCATTTGAAATTTTAAAAAAATTTAAAAAAAAAGTGATTAAATTATCTCGCAATTCTATTATTAATGTAATACATCGATAAAGTTTGTTTGATTTTTGTTTTCCGACATATTGAAATGTGTTTTCTCTTTCTTGGGAAACTCCTCAATGATTCCACACATTCTGGGGTTCAAGGACATCTCTATTTTTACAAAACTTAATCCCCTTCAGCACAATCTCCTCAGACTTTTGTCTCTGATAAGATATGCATGGTACTAGTACTTTTAGGGGGGTTATGATCGATTAGCTCAGAACTAACTTAACGTTTGCTTTACTTAATTTATCCTGTCTTTTTCCTGATTATTTTTTAATTTACTCAATTAAACTCTGAAAAAGATCAAAAAGGGATTACCAATACAGCTAGGTTTTTCCTTCACAACAGACGCAACGCAACACAGCAACATGTGCAGCAAGAACAGAAGCAACCTTTGCAAGACCAGCTCTTACAGTTCTGAAACCTAGACATGGCTACGGGACTCGTGTTACAAAGTCGAGACTTTCTAGATGCAGGCTAGAAAATGAAATGTCCCTGATTCAAGTGAAAAATGACAAGAAAACGGAGGAAAAAACAGAAATGAAGAATTCTTCAAATATCAATACGGAAAAATCCTCTCCAAAACAAACCACAAATTCTTATCAAAAATTGGGACTTAATGAAAGGGGACATTTACCGATACCAACTAAAGGAAACAATTCAACAGTGACAAACAGTGTACCGGGAATTGCAGGATCAGTGCTAAAGACACAAGAAGATGACGGCACTAAGTCACAAAATCACAGAGGACAGTTTTACACGACGGACGATGAAGGTTTTATTGAGGACTCGATGTCGTTTGGTAATCCCTCAAAACCCATGTTTGTTCACCAGTCTTTCAAACACGTTCTGCGAGACGTCCACTGTGATCTGTTTGACGATAACGATTTGACCTGAACAGAAAAATAAATATTGAAACAGCTTCTTGTTTATTTTAGTTTTGTTCCTATACATTGACCATAAGTTGTTTATTTCTCTATTCACATTCATGCACATTGAAAACGTTTATCGAGCAGTTTCTCCTTTTTTCGACAGTTATGTTTAAATATTTCATTTGCATCTATATATTATTTTTCCGTGAAGACACTGAAAGATGTGTTCGTAGATAACAACAGTAAACTTATTTTCCTGTGTCTTACCTACATCTTTACATACATGTACATATATAACACTTGTAATTAGTAAACTTTAAGGGGACATGCGAAGTTGGATATAACCCAGGCAGAAGCAAAGTACATGTACCTCCCTCATGCACTTTTTCCCAGACATAACGTTTAGAAACTATAGAAAATGTTCATTGAAAACCCCCCTACTTCCACTTTGTGTTTAACTGAAGTATAGTTAAATAAGGGCAATGTAGTATGTTTGAGTAAAAAAATGGTACTCAATCCACCCCTTCACGAAATAAGATTTTAGAGTTTCAAATGACATGATCTCTTTTTTTTCTCTGGTCGCGCCCCTTTCAAAAAGGATTCCTAGCTATACGTCACTGTAATCTACCTCAATAATGAAAAAAAAAATTAAACACGGAATTGAAGGTACCGTGGTATATCGCCTGTGCAGTTAATTATTATAGTTTGCAGTTAAAAGTTTTGCGTTACGTCACGATCTCTTTCGTCAGATGCATCCAGCGTAAACAGTTCACGTGATTGGTCAACTCAAATTATCAACATTGACATGGAAATAGTCTGTTGCATGAGCAACCAAACAGGGATAAGAAGAAAGTTCCAGTCGTAAAGCATGCAGTTAGGAAGCGTGTACAATTTTCCTTGAGCGCAGCTGTCAACTAGATCGTGACGTATTAACGTAAAACTTCACAGTTAACTGCAAACTATAGTATAAAAAGTTGACAAGCAAAAAAAAAAAAAAAAAAAAAAAAAAAAAAAGGAAAAAGTTAGTTGCCCAAAGTTATGGGGGGGGGGGGGGGGGGGGGGGGGGGGGGGGGGGGGGGGGGGAGAAACTTTTTCTCAGTGTCAACTACTTTTAGTACCAATTCTTATACTACACAATAAAATCAGCTTTCACTTAATCCTGATGAAGTGTCTGCATATTATAATATCCATCTCATTCCGTAACTTCTTAGCGATGTTGCAGACACAGTATTAAGAATACCATTTGAGCTACATGATATAAGATGTGGCATTGTTTGATAAAAATATATTTCTTTCTGAATATCTTTAAAGCAACATTTCATATGAGAAATCAGAGAGGGATTATGGACCTTAATTTGCTACGAGGTTGATGAATGAAATTGAGAGTCATAAGGTGGACTAAAGGTCAAGATGTAGTAATGATCACGATTTTGTGCATGCACATAAATCGGAAACATCTTTGGACCCAAACTTGATACAGAAGTAATAGACAACAACGATACTACAGGTCAAATTACAAGGTCATTGACAGAAAAAACAATGTTGACATTAAAACCATTTCTGTTCAACATTAGAAAATCAGCTTTGCAGAGTACTCTATTTTATTATACAAATTACTCCAGTTTTCTGGTTCATTTTTAGGGACCAGGCAAAATCTGTCACACTGATGGGACCGGTACAAACAGGCATGGGACAGTGAGTTAATTTTTTCATCGAAGAAGACAATGGTACAAAAACATTTTTAGCATTAAATAAGTATTCATGGGACACAAACTTTTTTTTTCAATGACTTACAGTACTTAACATGCTTAACCCAAGAGAAATAGTCATTTTATTTTTTAAAAAATCATATCGTTGAAACTAAATGAAGGATACAAACGGCAAAATAAATCTTTCAATAGAAAATATAACAGCAGATGAAAATGAACAAAAAACAACAACTTTTTTTCGATGTTTGAAATATATGTAGTCTGAGAGACTCCTGAGTTTTGTTCCAATTATCTCACCAACACCATTTAAAAAAAATGAATATCTTTCATCTCTTTACATTAAATATCACGTAAAATGTTATGATAATTATTTAAAATGCTTTGAACCAAGTACGGGTCCCCTAGGTTGCTTTAGAGACAACAACTTTTGAGATTATCCCCAAAATAGCAGAATAATAAATACGCCCTCAAAGTACTAGCTCTTCTATGAAAAAAGATATGAATGGTGGCATAATAACAATGCACAGTCGTGCTCCACTGCTTGTCAAATTAACATTTTGGATCCAGTCATGTAAACTCCGAAATTTTTAGTAAATGAAAATATTATCATGGTTGATCCAAGCATATTTTATTAGGTCAACCTAGGGTCCCGAAATGCCAATCGATATTCATACTATTTTCGGTTAATTATCATTCGTTGTCTTGCAAAATACTACACTCATAACACTGTAGATCGAATTACGCAGCACAGTAATTGTCAGTAAGTAGTGCAAATTTGCGTGTAAACTGTTAATTAAAGTAATCTATTTTACTGTTATTATGCCATTTTTTTCTACATATATGATATGTATTTTTGGAACTAAAACATTATAATGTATATGAGCAAATCAACAACTTCAATTCATTTAGTTGAATTAATGCTAGAGGTTTGTTGTAATGTATCCATGCAACTATCATAACTTTAACATTTTTTTTTAATTTACGTATATAAATGCATACATATCCTTTTTGAGTGTCACTGACTACAGAGTGGCTTAAAACTCAATTTATTTCACAGAATTTTGGTATTGATTAAAAGAGCACTGGGTTCCACAAACTCGAGTCAGTCATGCACATTGTAGAATTTAGAGTAAGATGCTGTGATTAACAATACAATACATACATTTTGATTTCTTTTTATTTACAAATTTTTCTACAGTATATAATTATATTAAAACACATTTATTTGACATCTAGCAGTGAATTGAAGGAGAAATTCAGTTCTAAAAAACTAAATGCATTAGGCCTACGTAACTTTTCCTTCTTTCAGTGTTTATTTTATTAAAGGGAGCCATTTTAGGCAAATGTTAACATTCATGTTTAAAAAAAATGATGCCCTCATATTTTTTAATTTATATATAATTATTTATTACTTTTTTGCTCGACTAGAATTTAGTGATTTGAACAATGTTATATACATTTATTGAACGGGTATGTGGGAAATAGCAAATTTATGGTTCCTCAAGGGAGGATTGAACTATTTCCTGAGCTGCCTAGGGAAATAGTTTCCTGCTGAGGGGAACCATTAATTTGCTATTTGCCAAATTCCCATACCATAATTGTTTTATTATACCGAAACAATCATAGGCAATTTATTTTTTTTTTTTGCCAGATATTCCAACTTTAAAAAAAAAAAAAAACACTATAGAGGCATAATCACAAACGTGTGCAGTTTAACAGATTGTATGATAAGTAATGTGTTGTATCTGAGAACAACAAAATTATTTTTTAAAAGTATTTTCACTGACATTTCAAAAATTATTGTTGTCTTCATTTTGCTAGAATTCAAGTATGATTTTGACATAGCGTGTCGAAATGTTTTGACATCATAGTTACATTGCTAATAACACTACATCACAGACTTGAGATTCTTTGAACGATCTGCCCACTGAACACTTTGATTGGTTAAAATTACTATTCATGAGGGTCCCAGGGAATAGTCTGATTTTTCAGAGGAATAGCGTAAATCTGGAAATTTTTGCTGTAGATAAATTTTTAGCAAATTTGGGAGCAAAAATAGTCTTAAAAATAATTTAACAATAAGAAAATATAAACAAAGTAGTGGTCATTCACAAAATTTTGAAACGGAAATAGTCAAAATAAAATCTTCAGATTTACGGTAGGGAAAATAGACAGTTTTATGGTATTAATGTTATATAGAGTAATAACAGTAGAGATATAATAAATATTACTACTTCAACACAATTTATTGGCTGGCAAAAGCAGCTTATGGAAAAACTTTTTCTTGACATTAAATTGTTGCAACAAATACACATGCAATATATGATCAAGTTCAGTTTCTAGTTTACAGTAATAGCTCTTCAATGATACCATGGGTTGTGGAACAAGTTCTCCAGTTGCCGAAAATCCTACAAGTGATAGGTCAGGATACCAGGCAAAGACCACCAGCAACAAACAGTCTTATTCTGCACACAGAGGAAACTCTTCATCTTCCCGTAAAAGTTCAAAGGCATCTGAAAATGGCACTGGGATTCCTAAAGAGAAATCTCATGACAGTATATCTATTAAACCAGTTAAGGACAATGTGACATCTTCACAAAAACCCGCAAGTCCATCAAATGTAGAGAACTCTGCAAGATCAAGGAGAAGTTCTAAATCTTCTGAAGCTGGCAATGTGATTGTTAAAGAGAAATCCCAAAACGGTATTAAAGACTATGAGACATCTTCACCTCACGATAATAATTCAATGAAATCTGCAAGTTTGTCAAATGTCGACCGTGAAAAACTCCAGGAGGAAGAGAGCAAGGAAGACACTGCAGGGGATATAAAAAAGAATGATTCAGCAGAGGAGACTCAACAGACGAAGGAAGAGAGGCCACTGTCTAATACTGACAGTGCTGTCATTGTCGCCAAATCACCTGACCAAGTCAGTCAGCCAATGGAAAAAGAGGATTCCAAACTATCAATGTTATCACATGACACTATGAGATCTTCAGCAGAAACAGATGATGCTGTGTCTTTGACAGAAGAGCAGAAGTTAGCTGCACAAGAATCAGCAGCAATGGTAGCTAACGTTATTGAAATGGCTGAAGAAAACGTTCATCAGATCGAAGAAATGGAAGAAGAAGAAAATGACAGCAGTCTGGAGGAGGGGTCAGTTCAAAGTGTAAAAGATGAGGAGTGGGCATCTCAGAATGGAGATATAGAGGACAAGTCAGATCAAACGAGCGAGGCGTCAACTTCTGTCGGAACTTCGGGACAAATCTTAGTGCTTGAAGAGGCTCAGGAAGAGCAGGTTAGGATCTTTGGACTCATTTTGAAAAGGAAAGGAAATCAGGAGTGATATTTAAATCCTTTTTTCGGAGTTTTAATTTAGAATAAAATTAATGTTGTCTTAACACTTTCACAAATTTAAAAAAACACAATTACTATATAACACTTTGACTTTGCCCATTTGCCTTCCCTCTTAAAAAAATTCCAACTGTCTTTCCTAATTTGCAATCTTTAATTTATGGCATGAAGTGAATATTTTGTTACTAATTTATTGCACATTTCCAGTATATCACTTTTATAATGGTATTTCATTACCAAATATGTAAATAAAATATTTTTTAGCCAATGTTTGGAGGATATTTTTCTTTTTTAAATTTAACGATACACAGATGAAATTAAAATGTCTGCCACTCAGTTCACATTAAACATTCTTTACACATATCAATATGATAAATTTTCTTTTCGAAGGAGGAAGACTCTGAAAATAAAGATGATGGTCCCAAGGAGAAAATAGATGACAACATGTGTGATGAAAACACCAAGTTACCTCCCCTTCCTCAGAGAGCACGGCCAGGTAAGCTTTGCTGACAGGTATTTTATAGGTATTTATAGGTGTACTTGTATATCAGGGTTACAGAAAAATTGTCTAATCCCTATGTTGATTCTTTCCAAAAATCTTGCATATTCAAGTGAAAATTGTTTACATTAATCATGTTAATAAAATTAAATCCCCCTGTTCATCCCTGAACAGGGAAGTGTTGAAAATTTTTAATATTCCCATATCATAAAATATTTGAACTTGCAATTCTTGGTACATGTGTAATAATTTAATAATGTTTTAGATTTGAACTTGAACTGTTGTTGAACAATCAAAATACCACAGTTCATTATCTAAGGTTGAAAGAAAGATTGTTTCTGAATCATTAAAAAACACATTATATTTTAATCAAGGCAATATTCATTTCAGAGACACTAGCTGATATTTTAAGATTTTATACTCATGATTTCTTTTGTAGCAAACTTCAAGTTTCTCTCAACCTTTGGTCATTCCAAATGGCCAATAAGAAATTTTGCCAAGTTTGATTTCAACATCAATGCTGGACATGGGGGCTGTGCTGGCCTGTTGTTGGCGTCTAATTTTTATGGGGGAGCAGGAAAATGCTGCAACTCACGAATCACATTCCTCAGATGTGGATTTGACTGTAATCACTTCAGCTGTGCCAATCTTAAAGATAGTAAGGGGGAACATTTTGGGCCAGAGCAAGGGTACAGAGTGGATGAAGAGGGAGGCTTCTTGGGGGATCTTCACATGGGGAACAACCATGTGATGCTTCTAACAAATGACTCCAAGAATGGGAGACTGGGTAATGGGATATTGGTAGAAGCCACAGAAGCCAAAACCAATCTGTGTGTCAATGTAAATGGAAGTCAGGGAAATAAAAATGGAGGAGGAACAACGTTGATTCTGTGTAGCGGAACAGTAGAAAATAAGCCTGTGTCTGCCATGTACATGATAAGTACTGGTGGCAAGGACAACTATATGGCAAGTTGTTTAATGTCTGGTAGTGACAAGTGGACATACGGAGTTGGAGAAAATGGGTTTCTCCACGTGAATGGTCCCAGTGATAGTCGCTATGCAGTGTACCACAACAGGGAGGAGCTTGTCTTGATGGAATCAGGAACAAAGCAGTCAAACGTTCTGATGACCCAGGCCTGGAATGGGCAAGAGCCCACAGCCATGGTGGATAACATTCCAGCCCATGGCTGTTTTGTGGTTCTTTGTTCCAATACATCAGGAGCAGATGATCATTCTTGTGCTGCGTTTTACCTTCTGACCATTGTCGAAGACGGAATCGAAAGCAAGGTCATAAGTAAACTTCATGGTGAGGGGTACACCACCGGAGACCTGTGGAAGTTTGAGAAGTCGGGAAGCAGTGTCATTGTCACTGGTCCTAAAGGCCCATGTCGCTATACTGTCCTGTCCAATGAGGAGTATAGGGACCAGCAGTATATATTCCAGGACATCTGTCTGGCCACGGGCTCCCCTCAGCCAATCAGAGGCCTGGTGGAGATTAACATGGAGGCGGTACAGGGAATTATTGAGGTTAGCTTTGATTGTTTGATGTTTTATTTATAATAGTTAGTGTTTTAATGGCAGTAATTTTTTTCTGTGGATAAATGCAGAAAAAGTTAGAGATGTCACACTAACACATTAAAATGAGATAAAAGGTTGAGTATGGTCGGAGTCCTGATATTTTTTAAATTCATTTTTTTTCTTAAAACTGAATAAATTCAATCATGGTAGTCTTGTGGCATTGATTGTACCCATTTATATTTTTTTTCACAGAAAGCCTCTAAAGTGTGCATACAAGTGGATGGGAAGGTTATACGCATGTTTGATCCAGACGAACTTACAAAGGTCAAAGAGGGCTATGGATTTAAACGTCTGTGGAAGTCGGAAGAGCTGCCTTGTGGGGCAAACATGGTCAGAGTCCAAATCATCAACAAACATGTCACAAGTATGTATCATTAGATTTCATAAAAATTATTCTAAAGAATTTTTTTTTATAATTGAGGACTAATTCTTTTTGAATCAGATGTATCAGGAAATAGGTCTTTATATTCCTGAATCCTGTATTCACATCTCTATCGTTGAAATTTTGAATTTTGAACTTTACAGTGGGTACGGAGGAATATGTTCATCTGATTGGCTCCCCCAGACAGCTGGAGGTCCAGAAGGACCTGGTCCACTACGCCCTGAACTGTGGGGGCCCCACCTACACAGCAGTCAATGACATCACATACACCAGCGAACACAGACAGTTCGCAAGCTTCACGTATGATTTCAACTGTGGTGAGTGTTTCTTTTATAATTATGAACATACAGTTGAACTTAATTATCCCAATCATTTCTATGATTATGAACATACAGTTAAACTTATTTGTCCCAATCATTTCAGATAATTATGAACATACATTTGACTTTTGGTATCTCAATCACTGATATCTCAAATAACATTGATATTTTGAAAGTTTTAGCTACTTACTACCCTATTTATCTTGAATCCTTATACATGTTATAAATCTTTTCTCTTAGTTCCATTAAGTTTGAGATATTGAGGTTTTACTGTATTACTAATAAGTAAAAGCACACTTTTTACACTGTTGTATATTGTTTGGAAAGAAAAAGTGCATGAGTCAACAATTTTGCATCATTGAAGACCCATGGGTGATCTTGTGGGATGAGTAAAAGAAGGGGTCACCCATGGGTATCTAATAATAACAATTTTGGAAAGGGGGTAGTGTCAAAATGCCGTCAAAGCAGCAATAATTGAGGCTTTATAAAATGAGAAAAAACTAGGAATATTCTGTATAATATATTTATAAACAAGTATGAACTAAACATGCTTGTGATTAGCAGATTTCAATTCTAGTTGCCTTGTTTAAAGTTGATTCTTGGTATTTACAAGCATTTAAAAAAATTGTTTTACAGGATCCAGATGTTTGGCTTATGGCAAAAATCATAACTTGGTCAACATTTTGGAGCTGATCAACAACACTCATGATGGCTTCCTGTATGCTTCAGTGAGAACTAAATACACAGAACCCATTGATGAACAAAAAGTTATTTATACTGTAAGTATGAAACACCCCCCTCCCCCATTGGCCAATTTCCACACACACTTTAAAACCATTTTTTCCACATGGTGTCTTAGAATAACTCCAAAATTTAATACCTTTTGTAACATATAAACAGTTTAAATAAATTATTTTTATGCAGAACACTTAAAAGAGGCATGGACCTAGCATATACTGTGCAGTCATGTTCCTAGATCATGTATTTTAATGTGCACACTTTAGATAATTTCCTGTTTATACTGTTTTAATGAGTAATTATTGTCTAATGTCTTTGATATGATGATTATTGATTTACCTTTCGTTGTACATACAGGTGAAGACACTAGATGTTCCCGATGGTGAATACATACTAAGGCTTCACTATGTTGGCAAGGGCTACAAGACACATTCTATCTCATTTAATGGAGAGTCCATACAAGCACAGGTTCGAAACAATAGCACTGTTTGTTAAGTGATTTTAGAAAGAATATTCAATTTGCGTACCCTGGTAGTCTTTCTAGATAACACTATTGCCTATAGTAGGTAGTACAAAACACCCATGGATTCTATTTTAACTCAATACAAAACAAGAATAATATTACTATATTGACATTAATAAATGATCCCAGTAAGAAAAACAACAACTTGTGACATGTTTTCGTCATATTTTGTAAAAAGAAAAATCAGAGAATCCTATTATTGATCAACACCCTAATTTACATAAAAAATTCCTAAGGCCTAATTGGCCAGTCTTTTTTAATTTGTGCAGAGTGATTTTCATGATTTACTAAGATTGTTCCATACAGGTGGCCAAGGTAGGAGACAAAGTTCCTGACATCGGGGGTCAAGGCCTGTCTGCTTTCCATGCAGACATCAAGGTGACCGTCAATAACAACCGATTTGTGTTGAACACGGACGCCCCCATCGCTGGCTTCGCTCTGCTGAACAAGGCGTACCAGGATCCCAGGAAGTCTGAGGAGGAGCTAAGGAAGGAGGGGGAGGAGAAGTCACGGCTGATGGACAAGGTGGAACCTGTGATGAGGACAGTCATGAGGAAGGAAATGGAGATCGTGGGGTGGTCTCAAAACCTGATTAAAAACTCCAGTGGGGAGGTAGGTTTCATAATACTTGGATGTTTACTTATATATTTGTTTAAAGTAAAAGTTTTTGTAGTAATATTTATCTTCATAAAACGGAATTTCATTTTCTATTAATTACTTTGAATTGTTTGTCAAAAATACCTAGTCAAATAAGGAAAGAGGACAGGACAGCTGATATTTCAAATGTACATTTGCATTGTTCATTATTAACCCTAAGTAATTTGCAAAATAAGATGATAATTAGCTGTATTCACATACTAAACATTTTTCATCCTCATTTAAAAATTGTATTTAATTAATTTTTATGAAAGTGACCCTCTGTTATCCACAGGAGGGGCAGCTGTCCTTCTGGAACTTTTCAGGGGACTGGAAAATAATTGAGGGGGGATACAATGCGGAGAAAGCTTTTGTAACATCCCACATGTGGTGTACCAAGTACCAGGAGGTGGAACTTACCCAGCACTTCTCTGAGGAATATCTCGATACAGCACCTGAGATACAGGTATGTTCTGCACCTGAGATACAGTTATGTTCTGCACCTGAGATACAGGTATGTTATGTACCTGAGATACAGGTATGTTCTGCACCTGAGATACAGGTATGTTCTGTACCTGAGATACAGTTATGTTCTGACCTGAGATACAGGTGTGTTCTGAACTTGAGATACAGGTGTGTTATGCACCTGAGATACAGGTGTGTTCTGAACCTGAGATACAGGTGTGTTATGCACCTGAGATACAGGTATGTTATGCACCTGAGATACAGGTGTGTTCTGTACCTGAGATACAGTTATGTTCTGTACCTGAAATACAGGTATGTTCTGCACTTGAGATACAGGTGTGTTCTGCACCTGAGATACAGGTGTGTTCTGCACCTGAGATACAGGTATGTTATGCACCTGAGATACAGGTGTGTTCTGAACTTGAGATACAGGTGTGTTATGCACCTGAGATACAGGTATGTTATGCACCTGAGATACTGGTGTGTTCTGTACCTGAGATACAGTTATGTTCTGTACCTGAAATACAGGTATGTTCTGCACTTGAGATACAGGTGTGTTCTGCACCTGAGATACAGGTACCGATACTTATGTTTTTGTAATTTTGATGTCATTTTATTTTGAAGAACTTCTAGACTAAAGTCAGAAGCCTTTCTCATAAGTTCTTGATACATTGTAATATGTGACTTATTCAGCGATCTATTTACCAGGCTTTCTGTTTCTTTATTGACAGGTGACTGAATGGTACAGGGAAGGAGTATGTGGCGGGGGGCATTACAAAATGACAGCTCTTCTTATGGATAGTGATGGCAATGTAAATCTCTCTCTCTCTCTCTCAGGATTTTTAATAACCAAAATTTAAGATTTTTCTTGCTTTTATATAAAGAATAAACAGGATAAAGGGGAAAAAAGTTGTCATCTAAAAGTAATTTTCTGGACAACCCTTATGTATCAGTAGTTTGTTTATAATTTCAAAAAATGCATGAAGTGAAACTTACGACTTTGCTATAAGAGGTAGAATTAAATAAATGTGTTTTTATTAACCAGGTAATGCAGCGTTACAATTTACCAGAAACTGGTAGAATATACCGTGACAAAAAATGGGAACAAGTAGGGACCACATTTAAAGACTATGGACCGGGAGCCAGAATTGTCTCCATAGAAAGTTCAGGTGAGAATCTATGAAACGGAAAGATGGATTATGTAGTGTAAGGACTTAAACAGGAAGGTTATGAAATTATGACATTGGCATGTAAAACCAGCTGGTACCTGCAGGTATATTATATTTTTATGCCCCGTAATAAAAAATTTAGGGACATTGATTTTATCTGCCTTTCCACCTGTTTACATGTCCATAAAACTTCAGTATGTAAAGGTTAATTCCAAAATTTTCTGAAATGCATTTCATGAAAAGTCTTAGCTAATTTTAAAATATAAAATATATTTAAACAGGGAAATATATTTATACTGGTGGTCAAGTATATAAATTAACATTTTACATAACATTGGATCAGGTTGCGCAAAGAAGGGCATAATTGGTGCCAAAGTCTTCCAACTCCTCTAACCGTGTGTAAAAAGTAAATTCAATTCATAGTGTCACATTCCTAGCAGTGCAAACAGAAGAAATCTCTTTGTCTCTGAATCTACTTATCCCATAATGCTGTTAATGAGCAGAAATGCATCATTTAAAAAAAAAATTATTTACAGGAAAGGACGATAAGTATTGGGGAGGCCATTATGGAGTGATTATTTCTAGCTCAGTCATCCGGGTCAAGAGAGAGGCCAAACCAGCCCAGGGGGACAAGTTTGAGGATATTGAACTGGTAAGCGATCACACACAGGGCACAGCAGGGTTCACTTTGTCTGTGTGTCTGCCTTTTCTATCCTCCTGTTTGTCTTAATGATTCATTTTTGAGGATTCAGAAGATGAAAAGTAGAAATTTTCATTTTTTAGCACACCTGAGCCGAAGGCTCAAGTGAGCTTTTCTGATCAAAATTTGACCGTTGTCTGTCGTCATTGTCGTTGTTGTCGTAAATTTTTCACATTTTCATCTTCTTCTCAAGACCCATATAGGAAAAATCTTTAAAAATCTTTTTCTCCAGAACCACTGGGCCAGGAAAGATGAAACTCATGTGGAATCACCCTCAGGTAGTGTAGATTCAAGTTCATACAAATCATGACCCCTGGGGCAAGGGTGGGGCCAAAAATGGCCGACCCAAGTTTTATGTAGGAATATATGGGACATATCTTTAAAAATCCTTCTCAAGAACCACTGGGCCAGGAAAGATGAAACTCGTGTGGAGTCATTCTCAGGTAGTGTAGATTCAAGTTTGTTCCAATCATGACCCCGGGGCTAGGGTGGGGCCAAAATGGTTGACCCAAGTTTTACACAGGGATATATAGGGAAATCTTTTAAAATTTTCTTTTCAAGTACTTGAAAGCCATGATTAGTGATATTTATATGGAATCATCTTCAGGTAGTGTAGATTCTAGTTTGTTCAAATGATGAATGCCTGGAGGGGGGGGGGGGAGTAAATTCAAGCCCGATGTGTTCAGGTGAGCGCTGTGGCCCCTGGGCCTCTAGTAAAGGATTCAGATGAAAAGTGAAAATGTTTTTTTTTTTAAGGATTCAGAAGATACTTCAAAATTGACCAATGTTGTGGATAGTCTGGTAGGGAAGGTGTTAAAAGACAACAAGGAATTACTGGAGCAATATCTAGAGGAGGAAGGTAAAGGGGCAGAGTTATACAAGTTTTGACTGAAACCTCTCTAACATGATTAAATGTGAAAGGGTGGGGAGATGATAGTTTTGACTGACAGCTAACTAACTGATTTCATCTGAGGGGAAAGAGTGAAAATAGTTTTAATTGACTGTTCACTAACATGATTCCATGTGAAAAAAGGGTAGGGGGATAATAATTTTGATTGACAGTTTTACTTACTGATTTTATTTGAGGGGACAGAGTAATAGTTTTGATTGACAGTTCACTTGGAAGATTTTATCTAATAGAGCAGAGAGACCTCATATGGTGGAGGGAGGATGGAGAGAGAAATATTGGTTTTAATGACAGCTTACCACATAGTGTAATTTACTTGTGGGGGGGGTGCAGAGAGATAATAGTTTTATTGTCACTTCAAATGCATTACAGATCTGTAAGATTCTAATAATGGAATTATATTTTGTTAACAGTTGTACCTAAATTTGAAGAAAAGTTTGAAAAACAAGTGGAATTGAGTCCAGCCTCAGCTCTTCAAGTTCGCAAGCCAAAGGCCAAGCGGAAGAAGAGGGAAATCAGGGTCTTTGTGTCCAGCACCTTCAAAGACTTTTCTCAGGAAAGAGAGGAAATAATCAAGAAAAGTTTCAGAGAGGTTAGAATAGGCCAATTTAAGATATTTTGTACATGTGTAGATTTATAATTTCAAAGGTTTATAAGGCCATTTTAAGTGTTTTTTTACTTTATTTAGTGTCCTCATTTTTTAAACTCCAATTTTTTCCATCTGGAAAAAAAGGGGGGGGGGGGGTAAAATCTAAATTTCAAACACAGTCCTAGAATTTTTCATCATCATTTGATAATTCTTCTGTCATTGTAATTTAAGGGGGACGACTATAGTTTCATTGTGTGAAAACTACAATAGCGAAACTCTTCATTTTTATACCATATATAACTTACATTAAATTTAGTTTGTATGCAAAGTTTGGGGGAAATCTACTGACCAGCAGGTATTTTTTAGGGACCGTCTCAAAATACAGATACATTTACTATAGGATTATGTAGGAGAATACCAATTTTTTAGCACTTTAAAGCAAATTATACAAATGCTACAATAGACATTTTGTTCAAAATATAATATTTTATGAGCAATATTAAATGATACAATATATGTAAGGAACACAAAATTCTACCGTCTTGTTAAGCAGGGGGGCATCTCAAAATGCAAAAAAGTTAGCAAATTTTACTATTTTTATACGTAAACAATGGATTTACAAGAAAACATAATAAATATATTGGAGATATTCTAAAAAAAATTTTGTTTTAAATTTCAAGAGCGTATGTTTATTTTTCTGTAAGAATATTTTTATTACCCCTTTCTTTTAAGAGCTTCAGATTAACATAACGTCAAAAACACACTGCAGCGACATCAACCTACCTATCAATTGCAAAATCGGTTAAATAATCAGTTATATCAAATTGTAATTAAATTTTTATACCTATAATTTCTTAATTTTGTTTAATTTTAATAATCATGCGAAAAAAGTTGCATGAAAACAATAAATATGCTTCATTTTACTAAGATGCGCAAAATATTGCGCAATGGAAACTATAGTCAGCCCCCTTAAGTACTAATTTATGCATGCTTTTAATTTCATAATCTAAATACAATCTGTCCATGGAGGCTATGCATAACTGGGGAATATCCCAATTTATTTTTATGCTTTTCAGATTAATAGGATTTGTGCAGAGAGGGGCGTATTCTTTACCTACGTGGACCTGAGATGGGGGATATCCTCAGAACAGTCATCAGATGGAAAAACTATTGCGATCTGTTTGAAAGAGGTACCTAAGTTCATAAAAATGTATAAATCTTTCTGTAGATTATGGTACACTTCAATGTACATCAGTTAACATTATTTCAAAGAAATCAATGTAAAGCATGAAGCTTGCCATCAGAATTGAAAAATGACTGTATTGTAGCTATAAATGAAAAAACTTAGTTAACTTTCAAAAGGCTTCATTTCAATAGAAATGCAATGGGTCTAACATTGATATTTCAACTAAATATTAAAAAATCCTTCTTCCAATTATGATTTTATTGGTCTTTAGAATAAGGTGCACACTGAATCATAGTTTTGAAAATGTTGAAGAAGAGATTTTGCCTTGCCTTTAAACAGATTGAGCGGTGCCGTCCGTACTTCCTGTGCCTGATGGGGGAGAGGTTTGGATGGAGTCAGAAAAGCGATTCAAATGATGAGCTGCTCTCCAAGACGTATGATTACGCGGTGGAGAATTATCCGTCCCTGAAGTGGATAAACGAGCACCGGTATAACACAAGCGTAACTCAGGTGAGAACTCACTAGAGCTGGAGAAAGTGAGCAGAAAATTTAGCATTGTAAACCATAATAAAAATTAAAGCATCAATATTACATCTACCTGTAATTCAATGTTCTACAAGTAATACAAAATTTTACGGAAATTAATTTTTTAACAAGTTAGCGTAGATTTGGTTTAGTGCATTTCTTTGATGTTCTTCTTTATGTAAATATGTGCAAGACATTTAGCGGATGTTTCTTTCCGCCTAATGTGCTTAAAAGAGCACACAGCCGAATGTAATATATTAACAGTAAATTTAAAGATCAGATTAAAACAAGATACTAGTCTTGTACATGTACTTTGTAATTTATAATTAGTTAGGCAACTGCATGAAATGGAGGCGAACTTGAATCTACATTTGTATTCGGGAAAAAAGCATGTGCTCTTAAATTAAACTTAATATAGCTTACATTTGTACCATTTTGGTAAAACTTGAACAGCATCTAGTTTGTACAGAAAGTACATACAGGAAAACTTGGTTATAGCAAAGTCACTGGGACCGTAATTCGTTATTATACTTATAATGAATTCAATAAATTCATGATGCTGGGGATCCAAGAAAACTACGCTATAATTGGAGGAAAATTCTGTGAATTTGCAATATCCAGGTTCATACTAAATGAGTTTTACTTACATTTTATTATTAAATGATTCAGTTATTTATATTTTTTAATAGCTGGAGGTCCTTCATGGAGTTTTAAATGACATAGAGATGAACACAAAGAGGAGCTTCTTCTACCTCCGAGAACCAGTTCAAATTGGGAACATGGATGAGAACGAATTCAAGGTAACAGGCTTTGACAGACTTAATTACCAAGAAGTCTGATAAAAATGTCCAAATTTATTTTAAAATATTCACAGTAAAGATATTTCAGAAATTGTATCTGCAGTTAAATACTTTAAACCAAATTTTATTTGCATGTGAGAAATTTTTGCCAGATTTGTGAGAGCCATGTAATTGCAATTATTTATCGCTGCTAACCAGTCCTTTAAGTCTCTGTGTCTATTAACAACTGATCCAAAAAGGCTTGATTGCAAAAATTAATCGTCACGAACTTGTTTACAACTTGTAAATCACGAAATAAAGTTGTCACGAAAAGAAGTTGGTTTACAGTATTAGAAAATTCAGAGCACAATGTCAAATGAGTAGAATTTACCCCCGTTGTAGAAGCATCAAGTCAAAAGTAAAGGATTTTATTTTTATTGCCACAATTGATGCACCAGCTTTTCGCCTCTTCTTTTGATGATGTAGGTCAGTTGTGATACTTCGTTTTGCATTGTGAGAAAGATAACTCTTAGGATGCATTCACAGATTTCAATTTAAAGATGTAAAGGAGAAAAAAATTTCCAGGGTTGATCCTTGAAAACAGAAATACATATCCTCAAAAAACCCATTTTCCAATGCATAGCTTTCAAACATTAGGTCTGTATTAAAAGACTAAGTAATCCTTGTACCATACTCCCTTGTCAGAGTTGCCAGTGTAAAGTTTAATCTTTTTTAAAATTCTTGTCCTTTGCTGTTTATCTTGAAGTCAATATAATGTAGTTTCATTCAAACTTACAAGAGACCAAAGTGGCATTTAATAGCAAAAAGCAATCAAAACATTGAAGGAGAAAAATCTGAATATACCATGTCCTTTGTGGCAATAATCATTTTTTAAACTGGTAGTGTAACTATGTTCATGTAATTGTCTTGAGAAAATGCCTGAAAGAGTGTAATGATAATTAAAATGATACTGTTAAAATTATTTGTAATATTATTTTAGAAATTCAAATCGGAATCAGAGTGGCATAATGAGAGACAGATGTCCCTGAGAAACATGGTGGAACAGCTGGGAGAAAAGGCCAACATCCGATCGTTCTCAAAACCGACACAAGTCTCCCAGATGATCAAAGAGGTATGTTAATTGGTCCTGATTTTTCAAAATGGAACACAGTATTTTCCTTTCATTATATAATATATTCAGAACTTAACCAAAATAAATATATCAATTATTCAAAAGTAAAGTAACATGATCATTGTTACAGGCACAGACCAGCTCACCTTCACCCATCTTTTTTTTCAAACATAACATTTTGTTATTGAAACTGTTCAGTAAAAGGCCAATTGGCCCCTGTCCACATTTTGCTGATTTATAGTCCAATATGGGTAGTGTAATAGTGTACTTGTATGATTAAAATTTAGTGCTGAAAAAATTGTAACCCTCCCCATTTTGATGCAATTATTATGTTATTCCTGACCACTAAACTGCTTTCTGTAAACAATACAGTGTATTATATTTAATGCAGGATTTACAAAAATGCATTGATGAGGATTTTCCCATTGGATCAGAGTTAACTCCTCTTGAACGTGAAAGAGAGGCTCACCAGGCCTTTGCTGATGTGCGATGTCAGGTTTACATAGGAAGGGAGGAGTACTTCACCGAGATAGACAGCAATATGGAGAAGGGGATCAATCAGCCCATGGTACTATTGGGAGAATCTGGTAAAGAAATTTATCAAAATCTTTGTTTTTCTAAAAATCCTTGCGATTTTAATCTGCTTGGAGAATTGGGATAAGAAATTCTTTGTGATCTTGGCTTTTCTCAAAAAAAATTTTAACTTTAAAAATATATTGATGCAGTCTAGGAAGAATGTATACCTATATAGGCCATTTAAATTTTTACAACCTCATTTTTAAACAATTTATATAAAATAAGACTATAAAAATGACACAACAGCAAAGTAATCAGTAAACAGTGAATTTAAAATGGAGGGGAAAATCAATCATTTATAAGTTAGATGTCTTCATGTGTGATTTCATTATTGAATTTCAGGATGTGGAAAATCTGCTCTGGTTGCCAACTGGGTAAAAAGAACTCAGAATAAATACCCAGATGCCTTCATCTTTGTTCACTTTATTGGAAGTTCTGCTGAAAGTTCTAGTTACTTAAAATTACTAAGAAGGTAGTGCATTATATGCTAGTAACTGTAATAATTACTATAGATTACTAAAGATGTTGTACCTTTGCTAGAAATCTTACAAACTGTTAAATTTGAGAGACTATTGTATCCAAAAGTTAAAAATTACAAGGAGGCTTGGATAACTGTATTCAAAGGGCAATAAACCACTGACATAAAGTTACTTATGAAGCGCTTTCATTTCTTTAGTATTTTAAGAAATCTGATTCACTGTGTCTTATTATACAAGGGTTGTTCGAAAAGTTTGTGGACAACTGTCATATCTTTTTTTACTTGACGTTATATGTTATCCAAATTTGTGAGAAATATTTTTTCAATAAATCCAAATGGTTTGTATTAAAATTTTCCAAAATGTTACGATTTATTCAAAACTTATCCAGATTTTAAAATTGTAAAAATCAGATTGCGGAGCAAGTCAAAATTTAGTAAGTCACAGACAATACACTACATAACGTCTGTAGTCATATTCTCTGTAATATGGAGCAAAAACGAAAAACAACCTAGAAATTCAAATTAAGAATTGTTACATCGATTCGTATACCAAATTATGGCTTAATATTTTACTTTGTTGAAAAGAAATCAATTTGAGAAGATTGGTAGTCCTTATTGAAAATGACAAAAACGATGACATTTTAGAACGTCACAGAGCAGTAGATAAATGATGCAATTTTGTGTTTTACTCAGAAAAAAAAACACTATCAAGTCTAAAAATGTTGGAGGAATTAAGAAAATATGTCACAAGGGAGATGTGCATGTGTGTACAAATAGTACAGGCAGTATTTGAGTGACAAAGACTCTGTATCGGATAAGGACAATATATGAAGCTGCAGTTTAACTGTAAAAATCTAAACAAAATCTTTTAAAAGTTGGAACGTCGAGGAAAGACATAGGCGCTTCAGAGTTGCATATCCTGTGAAAGCATAGTGATAAATATAAGAAATTAAAACCTTAACAAAGGAAATTATACACGGAGAGCAATTTTAAAGAAAGATGTATGTAAAGTAAAAGAAAAAGGATTTAATGAATGGGCATTGGATTATACCATATGAAATGTACAGGGATAGTATTTTTTAGAAATTCTTGACACTATATTTTGACGTTGCATTGCCGCCAAGCGTGCTCCACGGTTACAAAACATGTTGATTTTAAAATGAAGTAAATTGATTTCTGTTAAATTGAATGGAATGAAACTTCACACATTAACAAAACAAATATTTATACATATTATATTGTGCTTATTTTAATTTAATATAACAAAGATTGACATCGTCCACGAACCTTTCGAACAACCCTCGTAATAAATCTTCTGAATTTTGTACCTGTTTAGTCAAGATTAGAACACTAAGGATTTTTTTTGCCAGATTGTACGAGGAAATGAAGATTTTCTTTCACCTTGACCTTGACATTCCTAACTCAGACATGACCTTGGTGAGAGAGCTGGGTAAATGGCTGAAGATCTGTAGCACCAGACAGAAGTGTGTCATTGTCCTGGACGCCCTGAATCAGCTGGACGATGGATCCAAAGAGGACGGTCAGTATCTGTCAATCAGCAAATCAGCTGAATTACTGTGAAATCAGATATTTTCAAGGGGTAAAATTTTTAGAGTTGGGAAATATATTGGTTCACGGGGATTCTGATTTTGTGGTTGAAGAATTGTTCAGTAGTTAATATGTGTGAAAAATTGCATTTTGTTGTGGACATAAATTCTTGGGTCTCATCATACCTTGAAAACAACGAAAAGAAACCCCACGAAAATTAGTGATTTCTGATTTACTGACTTCTTGTTTCATTGGATAGAAGACATCATTAAATTTTGTTTTGACTGTAGAGTTAAATCATATACAGTAACATAATTGGGAATCACCTTATCATTTGAATTTTTAAAGAGGAATGGCAAATTTGAAAATGGCAACAAAGGTTTTTGGTGGCTTTTTTATTGTCAGTAAGTAGAAAATAGGCAAAACTTAATAGTTAAATGTTTTGATCTAAATGTGTAGTGGAGCGATATGAATGCATTTTTAAATTTTGCATTTTTAGGTGTGGAGCACAATTTGTTATGGATACCTGGCAAACTGCCAAAGAATGTTTTCATTTTGTTGTCAACTTTACCTGGAAGGGTAAGTTCCTAACAAGACTGTGTTCAAGCCCCCACCCCCACCCACACTGCTTTCATCTTTCTTGCTTATGAGTATTTTTTCTCATTTCTTGATTATTTCAGTAGGATAAATTTCTATAATTAAAATTTTTGGGGATATTACACTATTTTTACTTAATTAGCATATAAGGCAGAAATTTTAGCTAGGATTCTATTATGGCATTGTTGCAAGGTTGTTCAGATCATTAAAATTAAAAAATCTTCCACACATTTGAGCTTTACTGTTATCTTTCAAGTCATCACAAAATTACTTATTAATAAATCACTTCTTGCTAAAATCAAGTACATATTTTAGAACAAATTGCTAAATTTGTGTGTTGCTTAAAATGATCCTATACAGTATTTCTCCCTTTTGTCTATACTGATATTCTGCCTGAAAAAAACTAATTGTAATGAAGTACAACCTTTTTCCTTTTGTGTCTAGGCAATGGACTCTGTGTTAAACTTTGGATGGCCGACAATGAAGGTGTCCCCGCTGGAGAACTCCCAGAAGATGGAGATAATCACAGGGTACCTGGAGGGAATTTATGGTAAAACACTCAGTCAGGAACAGAAGGAGATGATAGTGGACGCTCCACAGACAAATAATCCACTGTATCTACGATCTCTGTTAGACGAGGTAAGCTCCGCAGACAAATAATCCACTGTATCTACGATCTCTGTTAGATGAGGTAAGCTCTGCAGACAAAAAATCCGCTGTATCTACGATCTCTGTTAGACGAGGTAAGATCAACAATTCACTGTATTTACCATCTCTGTTAGACGAGTTAAGGTCAACAATTCACTGTATCTACGATCTCTGTTAGATGACGTAAGGTCAACAATTCACTGTATCTACGATCTCTGTTAGACAAGGTAAGGTAAACAATCCACTGTATCTGCGATCTCTGTTAGACGAGGTAAGGTAAACAATCCAATGTATCTGCAATCTCTGTTAGACGAGGTAAGGTAAACAATCCAATGTATCTGCAATCTCTGTTAGACGAGTTAAGAATCAACAATCCACCATATCTATGATCTCTGTTAGATGAGGTAAGCTCCACAGACAAATAATCCGCTGTATCTACGATCTCTGTTAGATGAGGTAAGCTCCACAGACAAATAATCCGCTGTATCTACGATCTCTGTTAGATGAGGTAAGCTCCACAGACAAATAATCCGCTGTATCTACGATCTCTGTTAGATGAGGTAAGCTCCACAGACAAATAATCCGCTGTATCTACGATCTCTGTTAGATGAGGTAAGCTCCACAGACAAATAATCCACTGTATCTACAATCTCTGTTAGACGAGGTAAACTCCACAGACAAATAATCCGCTGTATCTACGATCTCTGTTAGACGAGGTAAGCTCCACAGACAAATAATCCGCTGTATCTACGATCTCTGTTAGACAAGGTAAGCTCCACAGACAAATAATCCGCTGTATCTACGATCTCTGTTAGATGAGGTAAGGTCAACAATCCGCTGTATATACGATCTCTGTTAGACGAGGTAAGGTCAACAATCCAATAAACCACATACTAAATCACTTAGTATTAATTGGGTCTATCTTCCACATGGAATATCACATTTCTGATAATAAAGGGTAGTGAACCATAATTAGGAATTTTCAATATCATTTAGTTGCAATTTTATTTGGTATCTTAGTTTTACATTACTAAGGGAAATGCAGCAGATATGTTTTTGAACACTCACTATAGAGAATTTCAATTACCTGTACATTGAAATAAAACGGAATGAACTATATTTCAATTTGAAGTTTTTTCCTTTTTTTTCAAAGTTATCAAATTAGTTCAGTGAGTAATGTAAAGGGCTTGTATCTTTGAAATGAATGTGTGGTCTTCCAAACTTACCCCTCTCATTGAGATGTTTACTTTTTCTTTTGTTTAGGTTCGGATGTATGGTAACTTCCGTATGTTGACACAGAAGATCCAGGACTACCTTCAGGCCGACAGTCCAGGCGTACTATTCACAAAAATTCTGGAGCGTCTGGAGTCTGATTTCAATTTGGATGATACATCATCGTAAGTCTTAGAACAACATTTCTCCATAAAAGTCCTAGATTTGTAAATTTTGGCATATGATCCTGATGATACATGGAGGTCTTATTTATGACACTGACTGCAAAATATAAAAACTTTATGAATTTTTGTTGGTGTTGTATTTTGATTATTTACTTCAGAACTTTGATTTTTAACTGTAGTTTCAAATTTAGGTCAAGAAATTACTGGTCAATTTTAGAAACAAAATTTAAAAACTGGACAGATGTCTTTGCCATGAAGGAATAATGCAGTTGATCAAATGAATGGCTAAAACAAATTATACCTGTTGCTATGCATTTTTGAATATTTTTGGATATAATTTCCTAGGAAATTAGTCCTCTTATCAGAGGGACATAAGACCTAGCTTAATCAGAAGTGTATCATTCTAGTTTTTGTAAGAATTTATGTGAAAAAGTTTGAAATATTTACATAAATATTCTTTTTTCATATTCAGATCTGGAGTTGGAATTGTGTTGAAGAGAAAACAAAGGTAATAATATACATTTGAATAAAATACTCCTGGCAAATTTATCTTGCAACAATGGGGTGTCAACATTTTACTTGCATTAGAATATAAAGAAATAATCTTTGATCAACTTCATAAATGGCATTTAAGCATTCCCATATAGATGTAATTCAAATTCAAGTTCATTTAATTAATGATCTCTACAGGCCATCTGATTTTAAAGTGTAGTCTTTATCCAGGATGCCCACAATTTCCAGGTGTATGAGAAAGAATCATATTTAATGTTTTCAGAACAAACATGATTCGTGAAACCACTACGGCTATTTGGTGTTCTAACAGAGGCATGTCTGAAAATGAGTTGGTGGAACTGCTTGAGGTACCAATCACTCTAATTGTCAGATCTTAGTATATCCAAAGGAACCCTTGTGTGTCTGTCCTTCTGTCTATGTGTCTCTCTGTCTATCCATAACAAATTTTTGGTGGCAGTTTCTCAGCAACTACTCATTGCAGTTGTTTGAAATTTGACCACATTCTTAGCTAAGGCATACCATGTGGTGGGATTCATTTTTGTTCAAATCCAATGTCAACCTCCTGTTTATCTATGTGTCTGTCTATACCATACATAATAAATTTTCACATCAGAGTAGGGGTATTACTAGTAAGCATTGGCTCACTGGCTTCTTGTTTCATTAGAGCTCTGCAAGGTTTTGTGCAAGCCATTTTAGTAATTGGTCTGTCTGTCTGTCTAATCTTTACATCCATCCCCAAATTTTATGTTTTACCAAAATAACTTTTTGCATGATGGACCAAATAATCACTTTTTGAAAAATTCATTATCAGGCAGCTGCATGAGACCAAAAGCCATATAAGAATTATTAAGATTAATTTAATTGGTTGTATTCACTGAAGTTAAAAGTGTCATGTTATTTTTTTTTCTCAACATTTTTTGTGTGACTGTTGTATTAAAATGTCCTCGTTTATGGCACGCCAAATTCACAAAAATGAGCTAAACTTAGTTTCACAATTGATAAACTAGGTTTATCGACTGTAAACTATAGTTCACAAACCGTGAACTATAGTTTACAATTCGTTAACTATAGTTTTCATCTGTAAAACTATATTCAACGGTTGTTAATTATAGTTTACGAATGCTTATCTAGGTTTATCTTTCTGTAATAAAACGTTAACAATAGATTAACAATAACGTCTGTAAACTATAATTTACAATTGTTAACTATAGTTAAGAGTTGTAAACCACAGGTTACAAATTGTGAAACTGTATTTATCAGGTAATCTATGTTTTGCAATCGCAAATGATTGTTTTCGGAGTTGAGTATGGTTTACGGTTGTGAAACATAGATTATCATGTTAACTATGGTTTACAGATGTAAAATATAGATTAATGTTGTTAACTATAATTTACAGTCTGTAAACTATAGTTTACACCTGATAAACCTAGTTTATCGACTATGAAACTATGTTTTGCTCATTTTTGTGAATTTGGCGTGCCATACTGGTTGTTTCTGAGTTCCATTAACGTGAAATCCTGTAAACACTCTCTCTAGGTCCCTATGGCAGTGTGGTCCCCTTTCTACATGTCTCTCTCTGACAGCCTTGTCAACAAGGACGGAATCCTTAATTTCTTCCACGACCATCTCCGGCAAGCGGTGGAGAGAAAGTACCTCAGTACCCCAGAGGAGAAGAAAGCCACCTATCTCAAGCTGGCTAACTACTTCTCTACCAAGGAACTCACAGACAGAGTGGTGAGTGTATTGTTATCTAAAGCTGGCTAACTATTTCTCTTCCAAGGAACTAACAGACAGAATGGTAAGTGTATTGTTATCTCAAGCTGGCTAACTACTTCTCTACCAATGAACTCACAGACAGGGTTGAAAGTGTATTGTTATCTCAAGCTGGCTAACTACTTCTCTACCAAGTAACTAACAGACAGAATGGTAAGTGTATTGTTATCTCAAGCTGGCTAACTACTTCTCTACCAAGTAACTAACAGACAGAATGGTAAGTATATTGTTATCTCAAGCTGGCTAACTACTTCTCTACCAAGGAACTCACAGACAGAGTTGTATGTGTATTGTTATCTCAAGCTGGCTCCAACGGCGTAGAAATGTATTGCAAACATTTATTGCCCACTTAGACAGGGTTAAAGATGTTTGTGTGCTTTTAACAAAGACTGAACCCCTCCATGTATCTTCCACAGGTGGATGAGCTCCCCTTCCTTCTGGCTAAGGCTGGTGAGCTAGACAGGCTCAAGGAGACCATCAGTAACTTTGACGTTTTCCAGAGACTGATTAAGGATGAAGATAGGACATTTGAGCTCATCAAATCCTGGCAACTGGTAAGACTTATTCTATACAGGGCTACAAGTGTCATTGGATATTTACAAAGGATTTTTTGCGCTTAATCCTTCATTCTGAAAACTAGTTATTGTTTGCATCATCTTTTATTCACGAAAATGTCAGTTTGAAATCAATCCACAACGATTAAATTTTCATGACTGAGGAAACATCTCTCTAAAAATACGAAGCAAAATGGTAGGGTCACATCGATTAATATTCATGAGTTAAAGTAGGTCGATGTCGCGAAACTCACAGATATTTTTCTCATGTAAATGATAGTTGTTTGATCTCATTTGAGTCAAGATTGTACAGTTTAAATTAGTCAGATACTGATTTAAACCAAATTGTCGCAGCTTACAGTTTTGTACTGTCATTGTTTACTAGTTAGGAGATTACACACTAGTGGAGGAGGAATACTTTAAGAAGCTGTCCGAGATCCCGGAATCTGAGCGGGGGACAGAGAACTACTCTGCCCTTCTGGATGACCTGGGGGGATTCTTTGTGGATCTTGGTCTGTACAAGGCTGCCAGGTATGATAAATATATTATATAATTATAGTGTTCTAATCTAAAAAGAATACTCACCTGCAGGTTTACTATGGTTTAGTACTCATATTAATGTCAAACCCTGATGCCCTTTTCTTGTTCCATTGTAGAAAGGTGTATGAGATGCTAGTTACAGTCATAGAAGCCCGATACAAGGCAGACTATACAACAGTGGTGTACAGTGCCTTCGCACAGAAGTGGAAGTATCGCACCAGACACCCAGAAGTACTCAACGTAAGTACAGTCAAATTTCCATATCTCAAATAATGATATATCTCAAATACCATGGGGTTTGCTGAGCTGATTTGGTCGTATCATTCACAAATTCTTTAAGAATTTTATCCTCAATACATGTAAATGTACCATAAATCCCCAGATCTATCAATACCTCAGAACTTGAATAGCTTGAATTCATGGACATCTTGAAGTTTTTTCAGGGTACCATTATGTTTGAGATAACAAGGTTTTCACTTTAGTAAAACACAGTGGTACAACAACACACACTATCATAGTATGTAAAAGTCAACTGATTCGGTTTGTCCAACATAAAGATGAAAAGAATTTTTACTGAAGACTTAGTTGAGACAATGTAGTAGCATACACCTATGTATTTCCACTTTTAACTCATCCAGGGGCTGTCCTTGAATTAACACTAGTAAATATATAATTAATATATATAAGTATCATTGTAGGCTTTGCAGAAGCTGGGGTTGATCTGTGAGAAGCTGATGGAGCTAGATGCCAGTCGCTATTATTACGAAGATGCCATCACCAGGCAAAACAGGGCAGTCACTCCCACACAAAAACTACAGGTACTTATACACAGGCCGGTAGGAAGCAATTTCAGTTTGGGGGGCACAGCCAAACATTTTCAGTTGGGGGCAACCAAAAATTCCTTTTCAAGCAAAATAAAAAGGTCATCAGACATTTTTATTGAGGGAGCACAGGCATATAGTAGCTAACTTTTCTATAGTATTCTATAAATTGGGAAGATTACTGGGGGGGGGGGGGCACAGCCTCCCTGTGTCCTAACAGTTTAGCTTACATAGTAGTTAGTTTAATATATATTTTATTCACAGAATAGTTAAGAGAATGTGAAATTCATTATGCATTCCGTCTTCCAGTGTTTTTTTTAAAAAGTGTGTTTAGGTCACTTTAGACACTTGGGCCTGGGAAGTCATCGTCTGTTTTGGTCCATGGTTATGTATCCTATAGGACACCTGTCATGTGCTGTCCATCAATTTTCAACTTTTGAAAACTTTCAGCTTCTTCCCTTGAATATCTGAAAAATACATATGTCTTAGCTATCTATGATTACCAACATGTACTTTTTATCTTTGACAGTTGTGTGAAGGCCTTCTGGGATTGGCAGCTGTAATGAACCTTAAGAATGACATGCCCCAGTCCAAGAAACTTTTGATACGGGCCCTGGAGCTGGCTACAGAGGTGTTAGGAAGACAGCATCACTTTGTGGCAGCCATTCTGAACAAGGTATACTGTATACAGGGTTATTGGTTATTTTTGCCTTGTGTTATTTTCGCCCTTTCACACTTAGAAAATATTTTGCCCTGGTTAAATTCCCCCATTTACAATTCATTTTAAGAAATCATACTGAGTTGTATAAATTCATCCTGTTTTAAATTCACCCACCTGTAAGTAGGGCGAACGGGGCAAAAATAAAACGGGGACGAAAATTGCCCTGTATACAGTAGTTGTCCTCATGAATAGATCTTGAACTGTAAATGCATCGACTTAATAAAACAATCCTTTAGTTTATTAATGTAAAAAGAGGAATAACTAGATACAATCTCGTTGCGAGCAACGAGAGGTTTTCCGTCCGTTCTAGGAAAAGAAACCCACGTAAAATCGAGCTGAAAAGAGATTCAAAATTTTTGTCACAAGGAGGATTGAACCCATGTCGCCAACGTGAATGCGCTTTTTTTTTTACTTTTTTATCCTCAACGCGCTAGCCATTAAGCTATTGGGAGTACTGCTCTAAACATACTTGTGTATACTTTTGCAACAGTTCACCTGTCTAAGAATTATAAAAAGCATTCATAATTTCGCGCCAAACGCCATCATTAAATATTCGCGCCTTTTCTTTGGACTGATCTATTAAATAGGTATCATAGCTTCAATTAAATTTTAAAAATAAAACATTCTTAGCGCCTTTATTTTATTTCGACGTTAAGAAAGTATATGTAACACATTATACACATTACATATTGTATCTAGCCCAGTTACACTAAAGCAGTGAAACGGAAATTAAGTTTTAAGATTGACACTCAATTGCAACTTACTACTGTAACGTATCGTACCTGAGCGGTCAGTAGGTCCGTGCTCGGATTACCGAGTTTTACTGGGGATATGATTGAATGCAATATTTACAGATAATAATATGACACCTGCCTGGTGTCTTTAAATCAAATGACCTAAGTGCTTTGAACACTTATATATCTTCAGTTAATACCGGCACCTGCCTGGTGCCATATGACAATTGCCTCACCATACAACTGACTATATAAGTCAACAGCCACCTGCCTGGTGCCTCTTGATTTAGCCTTTAACACCTGCCTGGTGTCTTACTGCTTACCAAGTTGCCTATATAACTCTAGCCAAGTAGCTACAATATACACAGTATTTAACTTTGTAAGAGCTTCTCTGTCCTATTGATAAAGCTATAGCTAACGTCACACAGCTATATTTAACTAGTCACTGACTACTGCAACTTTGCACAACTCGACTTGATCGATACACTGATTGTTTTCTGTACCAAAGTGAAGACATAAGCCAATTGGCTGTACTGCCCCCTTGTACCTCAACTTAATCAATGATCATAAGTTATCAGATATCATATTGATAAAATACTACAGACTGCTTTTCTTTTGTCAACACTCTTATTATTTTCTAACAGAACATCATTTATCAATATTACTTGTATAATTCTTTTGTCAATTGACCAATTAATTACAATATTTACATTGATTATCTATCATAATATAAACAAGTAACGGGAGGTAACTCCTCCAACCATTTCACTACTACGTGAGAGTCGATGTAGTTTTTTACATTTCATGTATCCTTATGTCAGAATCGTTTAATCAAACGCTCAGCTGCCTCCATAAACCCCTACTCGCGAAATGGCGGAGTTGACAGAGAGAGCCGCCATCTTGGGCCCGCTTCAGATTTTCAAATATTAATATCTAGCATTCAGATTAACCAATATTCAAACAACTTATGTAGTAAGCATATATAGAAGGGTCTCTATTAATATTCCTAGAATCAATAATAAATAATGAAAACAAAAAAGTTAGAAAATAAGCTATTTTCATTTCGCATCTCCTAACGACAGGAAGTATTGACGACGAACAAAAGGTCGCGTCCTGGATAGTATCTATCACGATCTATAATCCCTGAAAGTTTCACATTGATATCTTTTACCGTTCTTGAGATTAACTGCAGACAAAATTGCATTTTAAAATCAGAAAATTGTCCGTAACTTGGCACCAGAGAAATATTTCCAAAAAATCTCTCGGATAAAATAACTTCAGATAACAACACATTGTTCCAGCAAATTTCATGAAAATCCATCCAGTAGTCTTCGAGAAATCGCGTGCACAAAATTAGATGGTCAGAAAAATAATAATAATAAGAAACAATAGAATCGCTATAAGGTCTTCCGTGAAGACGGAAGACCTTAATTATAAAGTACAGATATGCACATTCTGACACAGTGAAACAAACTACACCATACAGTGTTTTTGGAAAGTAATTTTAAAAAAATTTTAAAATTCTTGGGGTTTTTTTTTTGTGAAACAGTTGGGAGTGTTGGGGTACACCCAGAGTCGTGTAGACGAGGCCCTGGCCTACTACCTCCAGGACCTGAAGCTGACCCGCAGTGAGGTGGGCGTGAACCACCCCAGGGTGGCCCGTATCCTGGGCTCCATAGGAATGGTATACGATGACAAGAATGACAAACTGGCCGGCGAGCTGTACGAGAGCAGTCTGGCCATGCTGTTAGATACGTACGGGTCTGCCCATGTTGATGTGGCTACTGTAAGGTGGGTACATCGGACAGAGAATTTCTATTTTTGGAAATCTTACAGTGGTAACTAGTGTGAATTTTGTGAATAAGATTGAGGTATATTTGAGGCAAAATTGAGAGAGTACATGGTTCTTTTCTGGTTCTTAAAAAAATCAAGTAAAATCAAATAATCAATTAAAAAGTTTTTGTTCCAATTATGAGAAGGTATTTTTTGCTTTGAGTGACATCTATGCTTTGTATGAATGAATGTAACTGCTGAAATAATGCTTTAGGTGACAATTTTAAATGCTAAGTTTGCAAATGTGTAAATAAAGTTGAGACCATCATTTGAATATCTTTTCATATAGAAAAGGAATGAAAGCTACATAATTCTAACTCTCATTTAGATACAACCTTGGGACCTTCTACTTTGCCACTAACTATTATGCTAAGGCCAAGTTCCAGTTCCAGGAAGCGTACAACATTTACCAGGCCTTTTTATCCGAGGATCATCCAGACACCAAGGCAGCCAAGCAGGCCCTTGAGGCAGTGCCTTGATCATCCAGACACTGAGGCAGCAAAGGAGGCCCTTGAGGCACTGCCTTGAGAGTGATTGACTATAGGACGTTTGCCTTACACCAATCATGGGGAAAGTGCCTTGAAGCACAGCACTCAATAAGATGCTATCCTTGTTGTTATACATAATTAAACCCTATCCATGTGACAAATGTCTAAACCTTTTTGTTGTTGTTTGTCGTCTTGCTCAACCATAAACAAGCAAAATTAGTACTAGATAGTTTTGATACATATAATTATGTTTAAAGACAATTTTATTCAATATCCATAACATTTATGTAGCCGAGATTCATAATTCTGAGAATGTAAAGATGAAAATTTTGGTATTGATGTTTTAAGGTTCATAAACCCTCTGCTCACTCATATAAAATGTCACTTGAACCATAATAATTTTCCAAAAGAAATGTATTTTATAATTAAAATTATCTATAAAGGAATATTAGACATTTATATCATTAAGAGTTATCTCTCTTATCAGAGTATCAATGAATCTTAAGATCATATACAAAATATGACTGTTAAATTTCACTTTCTTCACTGTTTTTAAGACTAACAATTTGTTAACCTCTCTGTGTTGATACATGTACAATATACATGTACAGATTAGTTGATTCAAGTTTACTCTTGGTTTATAGACAGAGTAATTCAAGCTGTTTGTTCTCATAATTATAATAAACCTAAAATGGTCCATATTTAAATGTAAAGGTAAATTATTAGCTTATCCAGCTTTCAGTTAATGAGAAAGGGAAAAAAATGTAATTTAATTCCATGTATGGAAGAGGACTTTATGTACATGCTAGCTCTGTTAGGCCACCACAAGTAATTTCATGTTAAGATTAATGCATGTTGGTTTGAACGTGGTTATAAAAATATGACAATAACAATGAGATTTCTAAAATATATATTTCTGCAAGAATAATTGTTAAGGTGGGTTTAATTTTTTGATATGTTTGATTTCTCATTTAAACTTGAATCTTCAATGTCAAATCGCGAGAATAATGATTCGAAAATGGATGTTGATCAAAAGATTTTATATAGATTGCACCACCGTAAAAATAAAGGCAAGTAATTTTATTTTGCGTGTGGTGCTTCTCATGAAATTGTGATAATTAATCCATGCGTATATATTTAGGAATTTACAGTATTTAATATTTTTGTGTTTTTGTACATTATGTTTTACAAGAAAAATACTCCAATGAATTTCGTTTTCTGGATTTGTCTTCTTTGGAATATACAAAGTGTGTGTGTGTATTTTTTATTATTGTATATATTTTGTGTTTTTCTGTTTAATTTATTTTTGTTCGTTTTTATCTATCATTTATTCATTACATCTAATTTTTTTTTTTTCAATCATAGATAGATATATATATACAGTCAATTGTACTTACTGTGAAATCACTAATTTTTGTGGGTATTTAATTTTCATTGTTTTCGAGGTTTGGAGAGACCCACGAATTTATGACAACCACCAAACGTAAAATTGCACATGCATTACTACTTAACATTTTCCAACCATGAAATCAAATCCCCAAACCTCCCCAATCTTCAAACCTTGACCCCAAGAAAATGTGATTTTACAGTATATCTCAAACTCTATTACTTCATGGAAAGAAAAAAAAAAGATATCAGAAGATTAGAGATACTGAGTGTTAAATACTAACAGAATAAGCGGATTTTGACCTCAAAATCAATTTAACCTAACCATGATGTTCAAGATATCAAAGTTCAGCTGCACCATACTTTACAGAGGAATATTAGGAAAAGTATTGCATTTTGCTTTCTCTTCACAAAACTGCTTACAAAAAATCCTGATCTATATTTTTTAGTCTTTTCTATATATATTTCTGTTGATGTTTTATTGTGCTTGTATTATTGATTCACTGTCTCAGACTTTCTTGCTGTGATAACTTCTTTATTATACACTGTATTATTATTCTTTTGATGAAAATTTGGAGGTTGTGGCAAAATAAGACAATCATTTTGAATGTATAATTGATATTTTTTTATTATTCAGCTGTGATATAATGTCTAAAAGTGCAAGTTACATTATTAGGAATATATTGTATTTTAAAATTTAGCAAGGTCATATACTCAACAAAAAAAGAAACGCATAATCAGAATAATATGAAAATGTGAGTTTTCGGTTCAAACCTAATTTTATTTAAGCGATTTTAGAGTGTGTTGTGATAAAAATCAAACATGTCCTTTGTTGCAAATTGAAAAGTAGAGTTGATGTCATTTTCAGTCCCCAAATTCAAGGGGCATAACAATATATACTGTGCGACGTCTCAATGCTAGTGAGTTTCCAATGTACGGATATCGTGGAGGAATACCATCTCATTTCAGTCTCTTGCGAACAATTCATGCACTTTTACGCTGATTTTTTCATCCAGCAATTGTAGCAGCAGTTTTTACAACAGGTTCTGAATCGCATGAGGTGCTGAAAGGGGGGGTGGGGGTCTGACGGTCCTGCCTGGTTTTGGTTACCTGCGGATGGCCAGATAGTGGTCTTCAGACGTTAGTTTAACGGTTGCAAAGCCCATTGATTTATTCCAAATACAGTTGCAACTTCCTGTTGCGTAGCTCCGTTTAGTATCATCGTTAGCCTGGTTGTGTTCATCTTTGTTTTGGCGTGGCATTGCAGTATCAACACTACAATAAAATCTTAAATATGGGTTTAATAGGAGTGTTAAAAGTTTCTCTAAATCCCAAATATCAACAAAAATAAACATCTGATTTAGAAGAAATCATGAAAAAACACTACTTTCATAAACATGTTTAATCAAGGGAGATAATTCAACACTTGGGTTTTAAAACCCCATGTTGTCTTTTAAATAGGTCACAGGTATCCAATGATATAAAAAATAGTTGTTTCATGTACATTTTAAAAATTTCTTTGACGAGTAAAACAATATGCGTTTCTTTTTTTGTTGAGTATATATTATATGGGCTGGTGTGTATTTATTCAGGCTAAGCCAAATAGAAATTTTTCATTTACAACATTTTTTACAGATTTTGATCATTCTCTTTTTTTCTGTTCTTTATATTTACTATAATGAGAGTGGTTATTTATATGTACACATTCCGCAAAATACAGATAGCATTTTTTTCTCTCGTTATTGTCTTACATTACTGAAGTATTGCTCAGACTTTTTAAAATTATCCTTTATTTTGTTATGTCTGTGATAAGAAAAAAGTACATTCACTTTGGTGAAAACAGCATTGAGAAACAGTTTATGACAAACTGATATGTCCTACATATATAACCATCCAATGTTAAAAACATATTTTACAGGAACTACCATGTAAATTTATATTTGCTCATTTAATTATCGTACATGTGTGACATTTTGTGTGATTTGTCCTTATTATATCAGCATTATTCTATTTATTAATTTCATTACATCCAGCCATTGATCATAACCTTATGATATTGTGTACTAACTTAATCATCAACCTCTGCTGTAAAATCGTGTTGTTTGTAACTGTTAATATATTTCAGAATAAATCTGCCGTCCATGCATACATGTAATCATTTGTTGTTTTTTGTTTTAAGGGACAAATTGAAGAAAATTTTTTTTAATTTTTAAGGAATGAAGCTTATTTCAACTTATGTTATCCGATATAACATAACTTGGGGCAGTTTACGCTTTATAAACCGCGAAGCGGTTTATAAGAAAGCGTAAACTGCCCCAAGTTATGTTATATCGGATAACATAAGTTGAAATTAGCTTCATTCCTTATAACTTAATTTCTGTGTAGACAATGAGACAATATTTCCTCCGGAAAAAAGGCTTCAAATTGAGCATTATTTTAAAAGTAACGTCAAGCGGAGTAATACGTTTTTGACGTAACTCATTGTGACGTAGGCAAGTTATGTTATACAAAATGTTATATGTTCCTCTGAATGATTCAGCCAATGAAATTGCTTGATACAAGTGAAATTAAATTATAAAACTCTAAATACAAGATGTTTGTGAAATACCCCCCCCCCCCCCCCCCCCCCCCCCCCCCATGGCAACTGTTGAAGTTTTTCAAATGAAAATCTTTTTCAAAATCAAGAAATCAAAATTTTCTTACCCAAACAAAGTTGTGTCAAATGAGTAAATATTGAATTCTTAAAGCCCAAGTACCAGCCTTTTAAAAGACATGACCAAGATGAAAATTTTTTTTAATAAAGGTCATACTCAAGGCCAAAGTGTAAAAAATTAATAAACCCAGGAGAAGCCTTGTGGAAGAAATATACAAATGAGACCAACTTTAAAGTAACTTTTGCTTGTCCTCAGGACTCCTGCAGCTGGCTTGCTAGGATGGCCCACTCTCGACTCAGAATGATCAGATAGGTGAGAAAATTTTTTTCAAAGGAAATTTCAAAATCAATACTGAATTTTCAAAATCATTTTTCAGGAATGCTTAAAAAATTATTTTCTATGAGGTTAAATTTTTTTTTTTTTTAAAAACTTTGAAACTCGATAAACATTTCAGGATTTATATTGGAGGACTTTTTCAATAAAGCTTTATATTGATAATTTTTTATCGAACAACTACTTTGAGTATGCGCAAAAAAAAAATCCTTACATTTTCTTTTCAATTAGTGCTTTGAATATATCTTTTAAAAAAAAAAAAAAAAAACAAACTGGATGAAATATTTTATTTACATTTAATTAATATGTGACTGTTCTCTTTCATACAAATCTTAATTAACACTTCAGCACCTACGTGTATGTGGGAGGACTCTTATGGCTAAGTATTGATAATTTTTTTTCGAGCCACTAGTTTGGGTATGTGAAAAATATTTGGAAGAAACGAACTCCTATGTGACTGTTGAGTCATTTGATTTTAAAATATTTATTTTGCACGCATGATAATGCTTCTTATCTCAATATTAAGAATTTACCTATATATATATATACACTTATATTGCACAACACTGTAATGTCAATCAAATATTAATAATTGCAATTTTGCTTGACTTTTTTTTAAAATTAAAGATAAGGTTGAAAGAAAGAACCCTTTTCAAAATTCATTTTTCTTTTTAATTTTTTGTAAAGTCTAGGAAAACGAACTAAATCCTCTAACATAGAAATATTGCACTGCAATGCATCTCATTGTGATTGCTTAACGTACTGTCTACTTAAAACATACATGGTCTATTTTTATTAAATTTAACATTAAAAGAAATACGACT